AACTGTCCTTTATACCCACATCTGTGCTCTGCCCCGTTGAGCTTTCTCTCACCTCTGCAACATTACCCGCCTCCACCGCTACCTCCCCCTTCGGGTCACTGAGACACTTATCCATGCTTTCATCATATCCAGGCTAGACTACGCAAATTTCTGCATGCTGGAATTCCCAACACTTCCTTCCACAAGCTGCAGACCATTCAGAATTCTGCAGCTCGTGTCCTCTCCCACATTGGGTTCCTTGAGGACCCCATCCTTGCCCGGCTTCACCCTCTCCCCATCCCCCACAGATCAAGTTCAAGATCTTTGCCCTAATCTTTAAAACCTTTCATGGTATTGCCCCACCTTACCTCTATGACCTTCTCAAACCACACAAACCTGGCCACTGCGTCTACTCAGCAGACACTGATCTGCTTCACGTGCCCCGCTCTATCCAAGACACCATCAGCAATCAGGTTTTCAGCCTATCTGTTCCCACTCTCTGGAACTGCTTCCTGGAGTCCCTACAACACGCCCTTTCCCTCACCTCCTTCAAGGTCCATCTCAAGACCTTCCTTTTTTTGTGCCTTCTATCATTTTTTGCGCCACCCAGTCAGCTCCGACCCCCCAGCTCAGATGGACTATCCATTCAATATTAAAGATACTATATTTACGTAATTTTGCTGTTATATAAATGTAAGTTTGTTATAATAAGCTCATTTTGATGTAAGTTGTTTCTTGTTCAATTCCTATAATGCACATTGGGATTGAAAGCCACTGACTCTTTATGCTCTTTTGGAGACTTGTAGTCACATTCATGGGCAATGCAGAAGTGGAGTTGAATGCTTTCCACATTGTACAGAAATATGATCTGGAAAGTAATGAGCCTGCAGATGTTGGCTCAGTTGTGCTGGGATTTTCACACTACCTTCAAGTTGATGTAATTGTAAATGGAGCATAAAAGTCCCATGTTATTGATTTCAGTATTTTATTTTTCTAAATGCGTTCCTTCCATCACAATCCATCCAAGGTTATATTGGAGTCATGTTACGCTTGTAATAATAGTTGGCACAATAAGAACATAGGAAATGCTAGACAAGAAAAGGTCCATCCAGTTTGTCTTCCACCATTCTGGCAATTGCATGCACTTGTCATGCATGTCCTGAATTACTTGTATACTGTACCCCAGCACTTTATTTCCCCCCAAAAGCTATCTAATTTGCATTTGAAATTCACTGCGTCAGTTTGTGAGGTGCATTAAATGAACTGTAAGGAAGTGAAAGAGATCACTGTTAGTTTTAACACAGCTATTGCACTGTGTACTGACATTGTGCGACCTGAAGGAAGATGGGCGAAGACCAGAGTTGTTACCAAGCAAGTGGATCGGCCTAGCCAATAGTTCCTCTTGTTCTTAATGTTGCAGATGAACAAAAAGTATGGGAGAGAACAAAAATCCAGTGAACCCCTGAGTTGATGGAAAAGAGAGGATAAATCACTAACCAGTCAAAGCGATTTAAGAGTTAAGCTATGTTCATAACTGATTAAGTCAATAAATTGGTAACTGCTTTAGAACTATCCCATACTAGACTCCAGTCAGAGTAAAGTTGTAGAGGTGCTTAATATAGGTAAGGAACTCACTAAATGGAGAGCTTATGTGGGAAGCATTTTTGCAGTGCTGGATAATTTGACTTGATGGGAGTTTTCATACCTTTAGAAAGTACAGATGGAAGGGAAATGGGGAGAGTCGTTGAAGTACGAGAGCATTTCCAGTTATTGTGTGAACCGCAGATGCTAAATACGTCATCTCGTCCGAGTGACTGAATTATGGGAAGGAACGAAAAATTGAAAACAGCAGAGAAAATCACTTACAAAGAAATTGAATAATTATAGTGCAAATCCTGACTGTCAACTTCAATTAAAATATCTTGGGGGGAAGGGCAGAGAAAAAGCTAAGTTTGCATTCAAAAAATAGGGTGTTAACTTTTAAAACCCTATATATGACTGGCTGTTTTTTTCTCTCTTGGGTTGCAGCAGCTGCTGTTTTGCTGTTTGATCCAGATAGTTTTTTAGATCTGATACAGAATGACCTTTGTAACCTTCAGGCCTTGGATAACTGAAATGACTTAATAAAACCTTTTAATGAGAGCTTTATTGATCTGTGTACTTTATGATGTCTATAATGGTCACCTTTGGGACTGAACTCATCAAAATACGCACCTAACCTTCAGAAGATGTTTGTACAGTGTTGTGGAATTCTGTTTGATCCTGCCGTAATTACACAACTGTCGGGCCTTTGCTTAGCCCTTGAGTTTCATAATTTTTGACGATTTTCTCTCAATCTCTTGTGAAGATGCTCACTGACCAACCCAAAACTAAATAAAATCTAATTGTTTCTTTTTTTAAAAAAAAAGCCCTGGCTTCCTCTGAACGAGCATATCCAATTCCTGAATATCAGGATTTTTTATTTCCCTTTTCAGGAAATTTGTCCACATAAAGTGCACAGTATTCCTCAACTGCAATTGGAAATGTCCAGGCCTAGTTTAATGATACCAGAATCGTTTTGAATTCTTCAGTACAAGTTGAGAGTTAAAGTGCTGCACCAACATAAACCATTTCTCCTCTCTCTTCTACCCCCACTCCCCAGACAGATGAAAACCAGAGATTGGCACAGGTGAATTAGTTTTATGCTATAGATTTTGGCCTCTGTAAACAGATTGATGAAACACAATTCCATTGGAAAAACCTCCTTTCGTATGGTGGAAAATTAAACTAATCAGAAAAAGGTGACTAACATCACTGAGACTACTTGCTTTTATGTTTTATGAGAATATTTTGGTAAGTTGTCCCTCATTTTCTTCACGATTCCTTTCTCTGGAGGCTTTTAGAGCTTGCTGTCAGGCTGCCACCCTGAAATCAAGTGTCAGAGACTACCCAGACACGAATTTCACTCTCTATTTCTCCCTTTCTGTTTTTCTCAAATCCGCCATCCGGCCTTCAGCGACCAAACATAAGTGGCTCAGCTGGTTGCATTCTCGCCTCTGGATCACAACTTTGTGGGCCAAAGATTCAACTGAGTCAATTAGCCACAGCAATGTTGCACAAACGGGCGTAAAATGAACCATTTTATCTGGAGGATTGTTGGCCAGGACCCGGAAAGAAACTCCTCTTTTCGAATAGTGCCATGGGATCTTTAAAGTCCACCTGAACAGGACCTCAGTTTAATGTCTCATCTGAAGAATGACACCTCCGACATTGCAACACCCCCCCCCCCCCCCCAGCACTGTATTGGAGTGTGAGCTTACACTATGTGAGTTCAACTTTCTGACTCAGAGGCTAGAGTGCTACAACTGAGCCAAGCTGACACTTCTGATAATAATAAATGGGCTGCCTCTTAACAGATTGAGCGTCAATTCTGTTGAAACATTCAATAAAATAAAGGCAGAATTCTGATTCTGTGTGGTGTGTGTGGGTTTAGCACCAAGACAAGCTGAATGAAACTAGTATGGAAAGTTTCTTTATCAAGATAGGAACAATGGACAAGTGAGGTGGGCTGAATAACCTTTGCTTTTGCTGAGCATTCATATAATTCTGAATTCAACCCTTCTGTGTGGTTTCATAAAATCCTTGAGATAAAATGTAAGAACCTGAAAAATTGTTGCTATTTATGTAATGCAAAAATGATAACATAATGAGATGGGGTGCTTTTAACGATATGTATTTAGGCCAATCGTGAAACCCATCTAACCCTAGTTACTTAATCGTTCCATAGAAACTTAAATTTGCATCTGATCACGAGATATGTGTCAGCCTGGCTCACTGCTCTTCAGTCAGAAGGTTGTGGATTCAAGTCCCTTGTTTGGACTCGTATAGTCTGAAATGACACTCCAGTGCTAGGTTGCATTAATAATAAAAATAATAATAATACTTGCATTTGATATAGCGCTTTTCACTTCTTCCTGACGTCCCAAAGCGCTTCACAGAATATACTGTAAAGTGAATTGACTGTATATTTGTGGGCGAACGCGGCAGCCAATTGCGCACAGCAATGTCCCACAAACAGTCGTGGATTGAAAATGACCAATTTATTATTGTCTTGTTTTTTTGGAGGGATTATTATTGGGTGTGTGGAGTAAGGAAACTTGCCCAAGGTTTCGCCCTGACCTGCCTGGAATTGAACTCGGGTCTCTCACTTGCAAAGCGAGTGCTCTAACCACTGAGCTACAGGACTCCTGAATTGTTGGAGGTGGCGTCCTTCAAATGAAACATTAGTTTGGAGAGTTTCTACCAGCCAACAATTCCCCAAATAAAAGTGGTCATTCACTTCAACAACAACGACTTGCACTTATATTCCGCCCCCTCCAGGCAGGGCAGCGTCTCAGCGCACTTAACAATGGCGGAGCTTGACTCCGAGCCGGGGGTGGGGGGTGACCGATGGCTTCCATCTTATCCATATTCAGCTGGCGGAAGTTTGCACTCATCCAGGCCCTGATGTCTGCCAGACAAGCTGATAGAACATCGGCGGACCTGGAGTTGGTATTGGAGGAGGCAAAGTAGATTTGTGTGTCATCTCAAACGTGTGGAAGTTTACCCCATGTCTGCGGATGACAACTTCATAGTTGTTTATGGGACATTGCTATGTGCAAATTGGCCGACAGGTTTGACAACAAAATACAGTCACTGCGCTTCGCAGTTTTCCTGTGAAGTATTTTGGGATATCCTCTGGATGTGAAAGATGCTATGCCAAATGTAAGGATTGTAGCTATTGTTAGATATGTTGCTACTGACAAAGTATTCAGTCAAAATCACTGAAATAAGGGAAAGAAACCATAGTACTTGGTGCCTATTGGGGTTCTAAATTTATCCCAGACATTCTAAAATTATGTTTAAGCAGTTTATTTAGATGAAAAATGAGTAGGTCATTATAGTCTTAAGAGTTCTTTTAGATGACAGCATTAATATTGTACTTGAGATAATTGTGGATTATTTTAATAATAATCTTTGCATTTGCATTTGATGTTTTATAGAGGTCAGACCCACAGCTTCTTGCCCAATTCTACTATGCAGATGAAGAATTAAATCTGGTTGCTGCTGAATTGGACAGTTTGGATGGACGGAAGGACCCACAGAGATGTACGCTGCTCGTCAACCAGTTCCGCTCCTGTCAGGTAATTGACTATCACATCTTGTTTTCCCTGAGGAATATCTTGTATCACGCGAACACCTTTAATTTTCATTCATACTGATTTGAAGACCTAACTTTCAACTAGGTTCTTGATCACTGTAGTATTTAAACTGCATTGTAGATGCAAAACTAATTCAGCTAGGGTTGATGTGTTTAGAACTCCTGTCTGGTTACCTGCAAATAATAATAACAATGTATTCTGTGAAATACAGAAACTAAACCTGGAATAATTGGTGGTGAATATTTATTTTTACACAAGGCACATAGGCTTCTGAAATAAGGTATCTTGACCTTGGGATTTTCACTTTTTGTAATTGTGGCGAAGCAGAGATGAGAGCCCCTGAGGCACTGTGAGGCTGTGTATGCTGCAGATAACTACCTTTGGAATGACTGCGATTCTATTCCATTCCTTTAGTACAAAAAGATTGTGCTATTTTAAGTAAATCCCATGCAAATCTTTCATGGATTTTTGGACTCTGGGCAAAGAAATGATTAAATGCAGCATGGTTTTGAAAACTCCACTAGTTCACCATCCATCGTAGCTTTGTGATTAATAAGGTCATGGTTTGGCTTTCAGCCAAGCTTCTGCAACACAGCGATTGAGCTGAGTGGTACGATCGTCAGTTGCCAATCATTGCATGAATTTGCTTTTGAAGTGATTGAATTTTTTTTCTTTATAGATTAAGTGCCAATGTGCCCAGTCCCAGATATGTGAAGTTGAAGTTTTGCAAATGTTAACATTGGTTTCAGACTGTGCTCTTCTGTTCTGACTACTGGCGATGAAATAGATTAAAACCTTGCAATTTTAGGTTTGCAAGTCTTTGCACGTTTGTCACTTGTTTATGCAAGTTATGCAGGAATTTTGTTTGGTTTCAAACCAAACAATTGACTAAATTGATTAAATTGCCTTTTTTTAAAAAAAGCTTAAAAATGTCAATACACAAGCTTAGATGATTTGGGCATTGTACAAATGAAAAGAAAACACTGGACATTTGAAATGACAACAAATGGTGGAAAATCATAAGAGGTCAATCTGAATCTTATAGAAAAATGAGTTCTCCTTTCCAGGGCAATTCTTCATCAGAATTGCCTAAAGAGCTGCTTTTTTTCTCATTGTAGTTATTTAAATTGTTTAAAATTTTCCACTAATAATAATAATAATCCTTGCATTTGATATAGCGCCTTATCATGTCTTCGAGACGACAACAAAAAATTGCATTTATATAGTGCTCTCCATGCCGGGTGGCATCCCAGAGCGCTTAACAATGGTGGAGCCTGATGCCGAGCCAGGGGGAGGGGAAGGTGACCATAGACACGGTTGAAGAGGAAGATCTTCAGACGCAACCTGAGGAAGGAGGAGGCGAGACAAAGGGGTTGAGGGAGGCAGTTCCATAGCTTCGGGGCGTAGTGGCTGAAGGCACAGCCGCCCGTGGTGTAGCGGAGCATTCGAGTCAGAAGGAGAAGGCCGGAGCCAGTAGTGGAGGCTGCAGGTACTGCTGTGGGGAGAGAGGAGTTTGGAGAGATAGGGGGCTGCCAAGGTGTGGAGGGATTGTCACCTCACTGGAACAGAAGGAAAGTCTGAATGCAAATCAAATGAGGCATGTACTCTTCCACCTCTTGTGATGGGCAAGAATCTTAAATTACAAGCCTAGAGACTTTGGTGGTTCACTCAGCATGTGTTTTTCAGTTACTGAGCTATGTAGGGCCCAGGTTCGATTTCTGCTTTGTGTTGAATACTCTGAATTTATTTGGGGCAGCTGTGGGGCCCTACAATTGTCCTCGTTCCCCCAGGTTAGGGAGGGGAAAATCAATGTGGATTGTTCTTTTTAACTTCATTCCTTATTATTCGTCGATCCTCCGTATATTCCAGTTACAATGAGCATTAAAGTTAAGAACAAACAAATGGTTTTAATTTTTTTTTGAAAAACTTGATGTTATTTTGACAAAATAATTTTGCTTGAAGTACATTGTTGAGGCAGATTTGTCTTCTTGCTGAAATGTCTTGAGGAACATCTGAAAACTATCCCATTGTTTTCTATGAATGCTGAATACTGTTTCATAGATAAATAGAACCATAGAAATCTGCAACATAGAAGGACATTCAGCCCATTATGTCTGTGCCCATTCTTTAAAGAACAATCCTTTCAGCCCCATTTGTTTTTTACCCATACCCCTGTACCCAAATGGATAAATTGGTTAGCTGGTTACTTTGGTCCAGCTGAACATCTTAATGATTAATGTCAAAAATACAATGAAGCACAGGGCTTCACAGAATGTACTGTAAAGCGAATTGACTACAATTTGTGGGCAAATTGCATTGTCTGTAAATGCAATGCTTTCATTCTCTCTGACTCTCTTCTGTGTCTTGGAGCTGGTGAAGTTTTGAGGGTTGATAAATGAACAATTGAAGTTAAAGACAAACCTGCTGGTAAGCTCCCCCTGCTAAGTGCCTGTTGATGTGTTGACATGAGCACCAGCAGAAAGTTCAATTTTTTATTCTAGGAAATGTTTACCGAGCAGTGAGTAGGAACCCAGTTGTTCATCAATTGGCAGATTACTTTTCCAGAGGTAATAATTCCTTCAACAAAAAAAATTGGTCACTTCAATCCATCACTGTTTGTGGGACACTGCTGTGCGCAATTGACTGTCATGTTTCGTCCACAAAATACAGTCAATTCACTTTACAGTATATTCTGTGAAGCGCTTTGAGACGTCTCGAAGATGTGATAAACTGCTATATCAAATGCAAGGATTATTATAAGTGGAGTTTCTAAGAATTCATTGATACCTGTAATTTTCAGTGCACATCAAACCGTGAATATTGCTGGAGAAAGGTAAATAAATAGCTTACTAAATTGCGCGCTCTGCTCAATGTTCTACGAATGTCACTTTGCAAAGGAACTAACATCAGTGGTGATCCGACAACTTGGAAGCAAGACCAGCAATCATTTTGTTTCGTGGACCTGCTATATCTTCTTGAAGCAAGACAGACACTAAATTATAATGGGATTGTTCTGCAGTTGGATATCTCAATTTAACACAGTAAAATTCCATGTTTGAGGTGGGGTCTTGAAATAGCAAAATTTCTGCCAAAAAAGAAAAATGGTATCTGCTCAATTAACTTAGATTATCTTTCTTTCCAATTAATGGGAATTTAAAAGGATATTCTGTTTTTAAAAAAGTGCTTTTTGAATACATACACTTTCACCTTTTCTTATCCATCTTCTCACTCCCATAAGAAAAGTTGCTAGTTTCTGTTCTACAGCTCTCTTCTTATCTCTCCCGCCCCCCAACCCCATCCCCCAAATACCATAGCTTAGAATATAGAGTAATTGTGGTTCTGCACCCACCAACTCATGCTTTGAACTGGGAGTATGTTTTGAACTTACCATATTTTTATAAAAAAAAGTAAAATATTTAATTAGAGGGAAATTCATTTTTTTAATGTTTTAAGGACCGGTGTACCTTTAATTCCTAGTTTGGTGGTTCCAGATGTAGGTAGGTGTCAGCCTGATTGGTTGGTAGACATCTCACCGTCGAGTCAGAAGGTTATGAGTTAAAGATCTACCTCAGGATTTTAACCCACAGTCGAGGCTGACAATCCAGTGCAGTGTCGGGGGAAGCACTGCATTGTCCAAGTTGTTGTCCTTTAGTGATGAACAGTCCTTTCAACTGGGCATTAGAGATCCCAGGACATAACAACAGGTCCTCCCGGTGTTCTGGTCAACAATTCAAATGGATACATTTGGGGACATTGATGATTTGCTTCATGGCTGTTTGAGAGACATTGTTGTGTGCAAATTGGCTGTCACGTTCACCTACAAGATCCTGTAAACACCGAGAGATGTTTCAATGACAAGGCTATATCAAATGCAAATAATTTTTTCATCTTCTGCCACCTCCATATGGTTTGGAGTGCACTGAAAGGAGTATGAGGGTAAGCTAGCTAGGAACATTAAGTCTGATTGTAAAAGTTTTTACAACTATATTAAGAGGAATAGGCTAGTGAGGGTAAATGTAGGTCCACTTCAGTCAGAAACGGGAGAAGTTGTAATGGGGGACAAGAACATGGCAGAGTCCCTAAATGGGTAGAGGTGAGGGAGCGGAGGTGGCTGGTGTGGCAGGGTGAGGCTCTTGAGTAGGAGGCGATTCGGGAGGTAAGGGGGGCAAGGGCATCAAGAGTGGTGGAGAGGGAGTTGTGGAGGAGCATTTCTCTCCTCCCACTCAGAACAGAGCCAGAGGGAAGCTAGGAGAGTGGAGGTCAGAGATGAAGGTGGGGGAGGTTTCGGGGGAAGATAAATGAGGAGAATTTTGAGGGAAAGATTGGAGGGATGGTAGAGTGTAATGTGCTCGAATGAGCCACGGCCATAAAGGGATAGAGCAAATGAGATCCTGGAGATGAGGGCCACACCACTACCACGGTGGTTGAGCTGTGGGGTATGGTAGGAGGTATAGCTGGTAGTGTGGCCTCAGTGAGGGGGAAGGTGTCACCTGGGGTGATCCAGGTTTCAGTGAAGGCCATGGTGTCGATATTTTCATCAGTGATGAGGCCATTGATGGTCAGAGCCTTGTTGCTGAGGGAGTGGATATTTTGAAGGTTGGTGTGGAGGGGACAGTTGCCAGGGGAATGTGTGAGACGGGAAGGGGTGATGGACTGATTGGCAGGAATGATGGGGATGAGGGAGGAGAGGTTGTCCCCCGGAGTCTGGGTTCGGGCCTTGTGGTGATAGTGGGAAATGGGGGAGTCAGTGTAGCTGCTGCTAGACGGCCAACAGCGAGTACCATGGTGAGCCCGGCGGAGCAGGCTGGAGCAGAAGGTGGCCTTGGGACGGTCAAGTGGGGATAAGAGGTGAGGAGTACCGAGAGAGGAGGACAGAGCGGGAGAGTTGCAGGAATGGGGGCATTTTGGGGGAAGGACAGCTCGGGTTGGGGGCGGCAGCCAAGATGCGCACACCAAGACTTGAGACAAGCGGTTAGTGGGGCATGGTTAGTCTGCAGACATGGAGACTGCGGGGGCTGAGGTGGTGGAGAGGGGGCAGAGCACTCATTGTGTTATCCAACAGGTTGCCCAACTTGGAAGATAACACCGAGCAGCCTGCAGGGAAAAGACAGAGGAGGGGAAGGAGATACCAATAAACTATACTATACCTGGTTCCGGGAATTCAAACCTGGCAGGCAGGAGTGACGTCACGCAGGTGTTTAGGCGGGAAATTCTGAAATGGTGGCTTCGTCTGAACTCGGGACCTCGGCCCTGCTTATCGCTACTTGCCGGCTCCTGCCAACTTCGCTCCCGGAGCCCTGCTGCCACTACTCACCTCTCACACTGACTCCGCTCCCACACTAACCTTGCGCTGGAACAGTTCGGTTTGCCCCAACACTGCTCCTGGTTACCACGCACGCACTGGCCTCGAATCCGCTGTCTCCCGGTTTCTCTTCGCACCCGCTGTCGTCAATTGAGCCTTAAACCATGGCCCCAGCGCTGGTTACTCAAGTCTGCTCCCAGCTTTCGTTGCTCACGTCTGCTCCCAGCTCTCGCTGCTTGTAGCAGCCAACTGCGCACATCAGTGTCCCACAAACGGTCGTAGATTGAGTTACCAAAGTGTTATTTATTTTTGGAGGGATTATTACCCCTGGAAAGTGATCCGCCAATCGACTAACAACCAGGTTCCTACTTACTGCTAGGTAAACAGAGGTGTGTGGAGTAAGGAAACTTACCTAAGGTTTCGCCTCGCCTGGGAATCAAACCCGGGTCCTTTCGTTTGCAAGGCAAGCTCACTAACCACTACGCTGCAGGACTTTACAACACATATTTCTGGGTTTTTTCCCATCATAAATAACCATAAAACTGGGTTATGACCAGTGGTTTCTATTATTGCCTTTCTTGGGCAGCAATATTGGCCTCTGCACAACTATACCAAAGCATTCTTGAAATTGTATGCAGTTGTGGTAAAAATTGTGATGGATAAGAATTATCATTCAGGGTAGTACTTACTCTGTCAATCAGGTTTGTCCTGCAATTTTTACCTCGACCTTTTTAGGCAAGGAAGGATGAAAACCATAGAGGTAAAAGCTATAATAATTTTTCCATTTTGATATAGTGCCAATTAAGTCAAAAGCCTCTGAAGTGTTTCAACTGCTTTTCTGTAAAGTACAGCGGCTATTTGTACTGGAACAAATCATTGTAATGTCTCATCCAGAGAGCACCTGTGTCATTCTTCTGACTCAAAGGTGAGAGTACAACCAACTGAACAAAGCTGACGCCTACAACAATATCATCAAGTTGCATTTATTTGATGTCCTTGATGTAGGATAATGTCTCAGCACATTTCTCAAAATGCATGGAGGAGCCTTGTTATGTCTCCTATTGCTTGATTCTTCTAAGTCCATAACAGAGGACCATGGAGCACAAGTGGCTCACAGGTGGTTTTGAATGCTCCCATTGCACTTCACGTTAAGTATCGGGAAACATTTCTGAGGGTAGATCAAACGGACAGCTGTGTAAGTTGTATGGTGTGCCACTCCACTATACTCACTGGTCTCTGACTGCATTTGAAATTTTATTTTTTCTCAGTAGAAATTTAAATGTGTGTTGGACTGTGGCTGCAACTGTTGTACAAAATTACATTTGTATAGTGTCTTTCACGTCGGGAGGACATCTCAAGGTGCTGGACAGTCAGTGTTTCAGACCCGAGTTGGGGGTTGGGGAGGGTGGAAGGCTGGGGGGGAAGGAGGGTGACCGAAGGCACGATCGAGGAGGAGGATCTTGAAGGAGACAATGGAGGAGACGAGGCGTAGGGACTGCAGGATGGAGTTCCAGAGGGTGGGAGCAGAATGGCAGCGCTGACATGACCGTTTAGATGAGACAGTCTCGTCCTCATATCAAATTGTATCTGAAATTGTAAGTGTTACACCATGTGTTTGGCGTTATTGCAGGATATAGGATTGTACTGTACCGATGTGAAAAATACTGCCACATAAAATAACTTCATCCACAGCTGAATAAACTAGAGGTTATCAAATCAAATTAAAAGAATGTCAAATGCATCGTGACTGGAACTTGGAATGCTGACTAACCCACTTTGCAACTTCTCAACCTAATCTATTTCTGTTCAGTTTAAAATCGAGACAACTATATAATTTACCTGGACTTGGGTATAGGGAGTACAATTTCTAACTTTGCAGATGATACTAAGCTAGGAGAAGTAGTAAACAGTGAGGAGGATAGTAGCAGACTGTAAATGGACATAGATAGTCTGGTAAAATGGGCAGACACGTGGCAGATGAAGTTTAATGTGGAGAAATTAGGAGAAGCAATATAAGCTAGATGGTACAATCTTAAAGGGGGTGAAGGAACAGAAAGACCTTCATATAAGTAAATCTTTGAAGGTAGCAGGATAGGCAGATAAAGCTGTTTTTTAAAAAAAGCATACGGGATACTAGGCTTTATAAGTAGGGGCATAGAATACAAAAGTCAGGAACTTATGATCAACCTTTATAAAACGCTAGTTAGGCCTCAGCTAGAGTACAGTGCTCAGTTCTGGGCTCCACACTTTAGGAAGCATGTCAAGAGGGTGCAAAGGAGATTTACCAGGATGGTACCAGGAATGAGGGACTTCAGTTATCAGGAGAGGCGAGAGAAGCTAAGATTATTCTTCTGGGAGCAGAGAAGGTTAAGAGAAGACTTAATAAAAGTTTTCACAATTATTAGGAGATTCGATGGGGTGAACAAGGAGAAACTATTTACACTGCTGGGTGGGTCGGTAACCCGGGGACACCGATTTAAAATAGTTGTTAAAAGAAACAGAGGGGAGAAGAGGAGAAATGTTTTTACATAGCAAGTTGTTCAGATCTGGAATGCATTGCCTGAAAGGGTGGTAGAAGCCAATTCGATAACAACATTTAAGAGAGAAGTAGATAATAATTTGGGGAGTACAAGTTTGCAGGGTTATGGGGAGAGAGCGGGGGAGTGAGATTGAATTGGATACCTCTTTTTAAAGCCAGGACAGACACGATGGGCCAACTGGTCTCCTTCTGTGCTTTATAAATCTATGATTCTAACTTAACCTAATCTCTCCTTTCTTTGTTAGGACAACGTATTAAATATAATAAACCAGATCATGGATGAATGTATCGCAAGTGAACGAGCAAATCGGGATTTTTGTGTCAAGTTTCCGGAGGAAATACGACATGACAATCTAGGAGGACAGCTCTGGTTCGGAGCTGAGGTAAATGTTTTCTTTTAATAAAAGTATAAAAGTATGAAAGTAACAATAAAAAATATAGTCTACTGAGATGCATGTTTTTATTTACTCTATATGAATCTGTATATGAATGAATTCCAAATCCATGGCTTAAATTTATCAGTGATATGGTAATATAGGTAAATGGTCCCCTGTCAGACTGATAAGAGTAATAGCCACTGACCACGATTGTCCTTTGTAAGCAAATGTTTTCCCTTGTTCCCCTAATCTATAATAATTAAGTGGTCAAGTTGAGACAAAATACAATTATACAGTAGTGCATGGTACATGGGGTAAAATCAACTTGTTATAAAGTGAGTTAATCTGTTCCAGTGTGATGATGAGCTCGTGATTGCACTTTCTATTTGGGAAGGGAAATAACATTACAAGTTCCTACTGTATATATTTATAATTTTAATGACTAATTATGATGAAATTATTCACTGTTTAGTGATCATTTTCCCAAAGCATCTTTTGCGATAAGTAATGGTAATGTGCTAGTGTTATAAAGGAGAACATTGTGAGAAATGTCTTACTTTTCACTTTTTTTTAATCTAGTGTTTAGCTGCTGGTTCGATTATCATGAACCGTGAAATAGAGAGCATGGCAATGCGACCTTTGGCCAAAGACCTAACCCGCAGCTTAGAAGATGTCCGAAATAATATCCGTGACCAGTGCCTGAGAGACTTGAATGTCTTCACCGACAAAATGAAGGAGTCTCTCAAACACTTTGATGGCCTGTTTGCAGAGTTTGAATTATGGTAACATGATCAGCACGCGTGTGTCATTTGAAGTTGTAATGCATTATCCATTTTATTTATTTGCTGGGTAAATAGGCTCTCTTGATGGCTGTCAACAAAAATCACTACTCAGGAGTAGAACAGTCATGCAAACGAGGAAGGTAACCTGTTGGATTTCTGCTCTGTACTGAGTTAGCTGATCATTATCCTGCGTGGCAGTGGAACTTCGTATTTGTGCAATTTGCCCTTGAGCTGGGTAACAATAATTAACACCTTAGGCTGCAGCTGCACATTGCTATCCAGTGACAACTGTTGCATGTGTAGATGCATAGATTGGACTTGGCTGTGATGTCCCACCCATGGTTGAATAGGCTAATGATACTGCTAAAACTTGTATGAAGATTGGGTCATTTGGGCCAGGTACTGGAGAATGAACCTCATGCCAGCAGCGCCTTCAGGAGAACAGGGGAAAATGATTTAACTTTGGGTTGAGTGATTATTCTATCACCCACTCAACTCCAAAATTGTATTTGTGAAAAATAAATTTTAGAATTTAACCATTTGAGTGTTTCTGTAAGGTTGTAGTTGTAGTGTTTAGAACTAAACTAAAAATTTGGCGCCCCAGCTGCTACCTCTGTTCAGTGAACACAGCCTGCTTCATGTCCCCTTGCTCAAACCAACACACCATAGGTGGGTGAGCTTCAGCCAGTCTGCCACCACTCTCTGGAGCTGATATCTGGAGCCCCTTCACCCTTATCTTCTCCCTCACCACCTTTAAAGCCTGCCTTAAAACCTTCTATCTTTTCAACCATGTTTTCAAACACCTTTTTCCCCCACTAACCTCAGACCTTGTCCCGAACTTAGTCTCCGAGTCAGTTGTGTGACGAGCTTTCCAATATGAAAGGCACTGTATAGAAGCTCAAATCTACTAGTTGTCTGGGCCATGTTCAGTCTTTGAGGCTGCAATAATTTATTTTCACCCAAATAAGTATGAATCAAAATCTGATTGTCCCAAATTTATAATTCTACTTTGTCTAAAGAGATCAAAATAGAAAGCAGTTTGTCACACCTTCAGAGGTGTGAAAATTGGTATCAAAGTTGGCTCTGGAAATAATTCTATTTGGAACATTAGTGTACATTGCATCGACTTAACAGTTGTTCAGAAATTAGCAGTCAGGCATTAAAGCTACAGCAACGTAAACTCTTTATCGCAGTTCTGATTTCAAAGTAGTTTTAATACAACTGTAAATATTTAACATTGATAGTTTAAAGCAGCAATAAACTTATTTCGATCCAATTGATCCAATTAGTTTCTCATCTTGCAGTTACTGCTGCAAGTAGTTAGATGTTGTATGTCGCACTCAAGACTGTTTTTACATCTAATGATAGAGAAGAGTTTGCTGAGATCACTTTTTATGAGAGGGTATTAGTGCTGCCAACTAAATAACTGGTTCAAACATTTACACAGAGCTTTAAAATTTAACATTTACTCCTTCCCGTTTACTAGTCAAACTTTATAAGAATCCCATTGCATTTTTGTACTGTCTGATTTTGCACTTCCTGCACTGTATCCAATATACAATAAAATTCACTGGTCACACCAGTCAGGACCAACAACAACAAACCATGACATTTAATGTGACTTGGACGAAGTCCAAGGTGCAGGCAAACTGCAGAAATCGTATAAAAAATCTGATTTTTGTCAATCTACACTGCACATGCGTAATTCAATGCAGCTAGTAAGTGCATGCGGGGCAGGTCAAGATTACTCTTCTCATTGCCACATGTGCACTTACCAGGAAGCATTAGAATCTCATTGAATCGCGGGAAATGAAGTTCTTCTGAGCACCCGTAGACAGATCAGGAAACATTTCCCACAATTAAGTGCAGCACAGGAGTAATGGAGGATAGGGAAGTGGCATTCAGGTTAGGAAATGATTAATATGACTAGTGCAAAGAAATCTAAGTGGTTTTGATAGGAAAGTGAATGGGACTGCATGTATGGTTTAGGTGATTGTATAAAGATCAGACTTAAGTAAGTTTTACTGTATTTGATTTAATGTTTTAAACTAAATTTGTGTTGTCGCTGTTTGATTTTTTTTAAAGTTATGTGTCTGCAATGGTACCTGTGAAATCTCCTAAAGAATATTATGTACAGCAAGACGTCATTATTCTCTTCTGTGAAACAGTTGAAAGGTAAGATTCAAAGATTTCAGTTTTCTTCAAGGATGCGTTACGTTAGATTTATTTGCAAGCGCTATACCTGCGTGAAGCGTTTATCAATAAATATGATGAACTCCTGTGACAAATCTCAAGATGCAAGATTATTGATTGAAACAAGTTTTTTTTAACCTGGTTAATCACTGGTATGCCAACATTTAGAATACTGTATTGTGTAAGATCCATCAAAATGATTTTCGGCAAAGGTTCAGACTAGCTCATAAATACTAAGATGTAGTGAATGTGGCTTATTAACTGGGATATGACCACACGGAAGTGAGCTTCAACCAGGACCAGAGGTGAAATATTTTCCAGCAGAACAGGGACATGTGCAATGACTATCAGCAAAAACAGTCGCTAGTGATCTAATTTACTTATTTTTTTTCAAATAAAAAATTATCAAAACTTGTTTAAGTGAGGATTGAAGGCTTAGATGAATTTGGATTGACTGGTCCAAATATTTGCGTCCAGTCAATCCAAATTCAATATTTTGCAAACAATCAGAAGCCAGGAATGGAGTAATTTAGGATTGCAGATAATTCTCTGATGCAAAGTGTGTGGCAGAACCATTATGGAAGTAAATTTTTAAACCAGATTTCGTACTATCAGGTACGAATTTCCATTGAAAGTGTGCTTCTCTGCTCCTCCAACTCCTGCAGTGATGGTTAGCTGGTATTGCTGTTACTCTAGCATAGGAAGAAAAAAGAAAATCAGTGGTGTGATTGCAGATATGATTGTTGAAGGCTGTATGTCCTGCATCAGCTGTGGCCTCTGACATTTTTAACAGATTGCTGAATTATGCTGAACATTCCTTGTCATCAGGTCATAACTTAGTTATGTTCAAAACTCTGCCGCCCACATCCTCATCCGCAGCAAACACCACACCCACTGTGGCTCTACTGGCTCACTGTGGCAGATGGGATCGTTTTTCAAGATCCTCATACTCGCCTCCAAAGAATGTAATGCCCTAGTACATCCCCACCTCTCCAACCTGGTCATATCCCCCTCCACTACCCACCCCCTTCACTTCTTCATTCGGCCAGCTTGGGCCTTCGGTACCTTGACCCTTCTGTTCCACCATGAATGGCTGTGTTTTCAGGAACTCCTTGCCTTAATCTCTCCACTTTGCCCATCATCAGATCGCACCTGAAGACTTTGACCATGCCAATAGTCACCCCGCCACCCCCTCTTCTCCCTGGTTCCGCATCAAACTACACCATCGTTAAGCATTCTGATACTATCCCATTTGAAAGGCACTATATAAATGCAAATTTTATGTAGATGAACATTCTTTCAATTAACTATTTTTAATCTATTCTTTCACAATCATTTTCGAATTACAGACTTATTTATTCAGTCTGTTAAATACCCCTTGTTATCAGTTTGTCATTTCACATCTTCATCATTTGCAAACAGAGTAAAGCAACCATCCATGAATAATGCTGTAAAATGTTCTGCTTTGGATTGCTCTGTATATTTAATAAGTAACCGCTCTTATTTGTAAAAACGATCAAGTTATTAATGAATTGAAAACTCTCTATATCCCAATTCCCCCCCTCCCCCATTCCAAGTTTGGAATTCAAGAAGCATTTGATAATTAAAATTTGAAAAATTCAAAGCATTAACACCAAATTTGGCTGTTTTAGATTGAAAGTTGATTTGCTATTTTCCAATCCATCAAGTCACATTGGTCTGACAGATGCTGGTGACTAATTGTGCTGTTTACCTGTTGACCTTACAGTTCACACTGTTCACAAATGATACAAAGGTGGGTTACAGTGCAATTAACACTCATATATAGCACCTTTTTTTTGGAAATAGAATTTGAAGCAAGCTACATGGCTCATTAACTGGAGGAGGTTCTTAGATAAGTATCTGAATAAATTAAATGTAATGATTAGACTGGGTTCATGTTCCTGTCACTGTTCACTATCCTGTAATCTGTCACTAAACCCTGATGGCCTGCATGCCACAGGTGAAATTCTCATTATTCAATGACCTTTGCTGGGAAATGCACATATGTGTCCACTGGGAAAATAGACCGAGTCTCCACAGTGATGCTTTCTGCTGCTAAATAACTTAATGATACTGTCCGGGTTCGTGTATAAAACCTTTGAGTCAGGCACCAGAGAGTACCACTCAATCATGCCCCAGCAATTATCCATTATCATCAGCAAAGTTAATTTAGAGGGGAGAGTATGTTTACATTACTAGAGGAAACATGAAATGTTTCCGCAATGAATGTCTGATTGTCCAGCATCTTGGGATGTCCTCCCGCTGTGAAAGGTACTATACAAGTGTAATTTTGTATTGTATGTTGTCCACAAATAAAAGTAGGAAAGAAAAAAGGTTCTTGACCATTTTCTGAAAGTAACCAGTCAATAAAACACAATACAAAATTACATTTGTAAAGCATCTTTCATGTCAGGAGAATGTCCCAAGGCAATGAACAGTCAGGGATTATGGATTAGGACCCAAGGTGGGGCGGGGGGGGGAGGATTGGGATCAGGGAGGGTGGAGGGTGGACGAAGGCACAGTCAAAGAGGAGGGCTCTTGAGGCGTGCCTTAAAGGAGGCAAGGGAGGGAGCGAGGTGAAGGGAATATGAGGTGGAGTTCCAGAAGATGGGGGTAGAGAGGCTGAAGGCCCGACTGCCAATGGAGGAGAAGCCATTGATAATACGAATATTAATTACGTCCAATTGGTTTTGAGTGGTTTACAAAGGTGAAAATCGCCTTTGGAACTCACTCAAAACCAATTGGGCTTGTTGATAACATTCGTATTGTCAACGGCTTCTCTTCCAGCTCCCGCACCGTTTCGTGCCGTGTTCCTCAGATTCCTCAATTAGATATTTATTTGGAGAGGACACGTTTGCAGGGAGATGGGGAGAGAGGAGGGGAGTGGGATTGAATTAGATAGCTCTTTTTAAAGAGCCGGCTCAGACACGATGGGCCAAATGGCTTACTTCTGTGCTGTTCTATGATTCTGTGAACCTTCTATAACCTCCTGGTGAGGCCACATTTAGAATAACTTTGCTAAAGTCTAACCTTAATTAAGTGAGAGAATTCTCTTGAGAATTTTAACTTGGGTATAAATGTGTATGAAATACTTACTAATTAGTCCCCTTTCATTAGAGAAAAGCTCTGGTTCAAGTTGATATTAAAGGTCATGAGGCTGCAGTATATATAAGTCTAGGTGATCAAACCACTTCTCTGGTTCCAGAAGAATGTCATCTGTGGCATGCAGTTAATCAGGGTTTAGTATATTGTTTGCACGGACTAAAATAGTACAGGTTCTACTGGATTGCCCTTAAGGAATGGGAAAAATTCCAAACCTTTACTTTGTAAACTTTGTACTTTGTAGAATACCTTCCTCAAGAGATTAAATGCAATACAATACAAAATTACATTTTTATAGCGCCTTTCACATCAGGAGGATGTCCCAAGGTCCTGGACAGTCAGGGATTTCAACCCGAGCAGGGGTCAAGAAACAACCTGTATGTCAGTCTGACTCGCCTCTTGAGTCAGAAGGTTGTGGATTCAGTCCCCACATCTTGGCTTGGAATTGCATCTTCTAAAATGACACTCCAATGCAGTGCTGGGAAGGTGTTGCATTGTCAGAGGCACCGTTTTTCGGATGAGTCATTAAACCTAAGTCCTGTCTGCCTGTTCAGGTGGACTTTTGAAGATCCCATGGTGCTATTGGGAAGGATTTTCTCCTGGTCAATAGATCCCCCAAATAAAATGCGTCATTCACTTTATGGCTGTTTATGAGACATTGCTGTTCCCAAACTGTCCACAAAATACAGTTAATTCACTTTGCAGTTTGTCCTGTGAAGCAGTTTCAAACATCTCGACAATATGATTAGGAGTATATCAAACACAAGGATTAAAAGAATTTATTTTTAATACTTTAATGCTTAAGATAATATTTATGTCAAAAAAAAGAAAAAAAGGAGTGACAAAGAAAAACTATCACTCTTTCTCTCAAGTACAGTAGTTGATTTAATTTACAACATGTAACAAATATAAAATTATTTACAGGGCCTTAAAGCTTGGATACCTCACACAAGATCTGATTGACGACTATGAACCAGCATTAATGTTTACAATTCCTAGACTAGCCATTGTATGGTAAGTGTTCATTAAAGAGGTTTGTATTTTATATTATTTAGCAATGCAAATACTGCTGGATTAAATCAATTTAATAGACCTATTTTATGGTGTTCTTGTGACAGTTTTGAAGTAGGAGATAGCCATAGCTAATGATGATGGACAGATTCTGGGCAGGGTTCAGACAGATGCAAGCAGTTTGGTGTCAAAAAGTTGCAGGTTAAATTTATGTAAATCGATCTTGAATTGGTCACATTATCACTAGGATACCTGGAAGGGTTTAGAAAAGTAATTATGGAGATGACAGTTATAATTTTGTCAAAACAGTCTGCACTTCTGTATTGGAAATGTGTACCTCAAGGAATAGGTAAATTGTATGTTTTCAGTATTGTTCATAACTAGAGAGAAAACCTGTTTCAAAGTACACATCGTGAATTGACATGACAAGTCTTCAGCAATATTAGCGTGTCTGGGACTGAACTGTTTATTATGTGACGTAGTTCCACACTACTGTTATAGCCAGAGAATTTGAGATTACATTTGGAGATATCGTCTGATAGAATTTCATTTTTTTATAAACATGTAGACTAATTTTCTTTAAGATTTACAGTAAGTAATTTTGGATAATCACATCGGTGCCTTTAAAGGAATACAAGCTCGTCCAGGTCATCTTACTGGAAATCTGGAATCCGCGGACTGATCAGAGACTGATTAGATATGTAGAGCAGTCTCTGACTGAATACTGGGAGGTATAAATAACGTTGGATGAATGACGGTAAACTTACAAGATTAAGGTAAATTTAAATTAATTGGGAGCTCAAACAAATCCATCTCAGATACCCAGAGAAGGGAAGAAATGTGGAATTGTGGTACAACAAATGTTTTTTGTGAACCATGTCAAGTGAACCAAGTGCTTTTCAAACATTTGTCATTTTATTTTCAAGGTTCTCTGAGAGTTACAGTGCCAGGACACGATTCAGCAATATGGATAATATTATAGTGAAGTTGCAGAGATGAATTAACATTTTTAAAAAGAGCAAATTTAACAAGTTTAATTCACTGGTTCTGAATAAAAGACAGGCTGTAAGCTGTATTTACCAAGCATTAGTGTATATTCCTCTGGGTAGCACCAAACCAGCTGACGAAAAGAAGATGTTGCCAGAAGTAGTTATATAAAGAGTACGAGAGTACAAAGCCTAGCTCCCTTATCCTTTTATATAGTCTTAAAACCCCAGCAACTGATTTAAGTCACTTGTGTGCTCGCCAAGAGTTTTTATTCAGGAAAATGGCGCACATGAAAGAATTAGTCAAGGCTGAGATGAGCAAATCCAATGTATTTGTGCACTTCCATTAAATTAAAGTGAAAATGAAGATGCCTTTGCTGAAATGTGCCATTTGTACTTGTTAGATTGGAGTCAATTCTTTAAGTGGTGTACACCTTAGTAAAATGCTATTATTTTACTGCATTACTATGGCAGCAAGTGTGTTAAACTATGATTCAGTATTTGTTGTGATTGTATTTAGTAGTGCAGTTTGGCTGCATATCTTGCATGATCTATTTTCAGATAATTTAGTATCTGCTTCACTATTTGGTATAGACTTCATTATTGTGATCTTCAAGACTGAAGTACTTGTCTCATCATTGTTCATTCCATTTGTCATTGGGGATCATTCTCATTGCTTTTTCACTTGTTTGCTTGTTGGCTCTGGACAGCCTCCTAATGTTGTAGTGACCAGAAATGTACATGGGTACTACCTGAGCAATAAAGGCGTTGTCGTATTTTTTATCTTAGTGGTATAAAAGTAAGTTTGACCTGCCTTTGTTTTTTCCTTTGAACCCTTCTATCTCTTAGTTGCAGAGTTATCACTTTGAGTACTATATCAAGTCAATAATGCTGGACTATTCTGGTGGCATACATGATGCTACATTACATTTGTGTTGTAAGAGCTAGTATCATTGCAACACACTGGCTGCTGCGTCCAAAATAGAATGCTCATAAAACGCCCTTGCTGTCTTTTGTTGTTTTGCTTTGCCTCTACTGCCAAATCTACATTTTATTTATAACTTCCCTAGAATGTTAAAAATATTTGCATTTAATCATCTTTATATCCATTAGTAGGAAGATCCGTTCCAAAATCAAAATGAGAAACATTTCCCTAAAACAATAAAGCAGTTACAATACTTCATATGGAGTTACAGTTCCCCTTAGACTATTTGTTCATGAAATGTTAAAATAAGTTATATGAATTTAATTTATATAATTTATATAAATTATTTTCCTAAAATTAGATGAACATCAGAAATTCACTCAGTTCAATAGACTGTAAACTCTTATATATAAAAACTATCCAAGTATTAAATTGATAAAACAGTAAAGCTCTCATTATTTGAGTTGAATTATGTGGCTATCACTATTCCACAGATAGCCAAATCCTACCTTGATTAATCTTTGGTTAAGAATCATAATAGTGACTAAAGTGCAACCATTTTCCAGGAAACCTTTTGTGCACTTAATCTATGTGGCTTGTTGCTAATCAAGTCAGCCAGTTTCTCTTGTGTTTTCTGCAGAACAGACAAATTAATGATTGTTTTCTGAAGGATGATCTTAATGAAAAAAGGAGCTGTAGTCTAAATATGACTGCCCCCAAGTGACTGGTATTTGAATGAAACTTGCTACATGCTTTTGTAGACCGTATTGCCATTGTTGTTTACAATGTAAAAACATCATTCCCATGCAAACTAACTGCAGCTGGACTTAAATGATCAAAGTTTTCATATGAATCAAAGTTCCAGGTCCATCGATGTTCTATCAGCTTGTCTGGCAGATATCAGGGTTTGGATGAGTGCAAACTTCCTGCAGCTGAATGTGGACAGAATGGAAGCCAAACTCCTTGTCTCCCATCACTGTCTTCACTCCTGTGGATCCTCAACCTCCCTGGACTCTCCCTCACATTCACCGAACCAGTGTGCAATCTAGGCGTCCAGTTCGACCCCCAGCTGTCCTTCCTCCCCCACATCCAGTCCCTGATCAGGACTGTCTTCCTCCACCTCCGCCACATTGCCCGCCTCCGACCTTACCTTACCCAAAATGCAGCCGAAACCCTTGTGCATGCGTTTGTCACCTCCCGCCTGGATTACTCAAATCCACTCCTCGTCGGTCTCCCCAGCTCCACTATTCAAAATATCCAGCTCATTCAGAACTCTGCTGCCCTCATACTGACCCGGACGGACCAAACTCCATACCCCCATCTCACCAGTTCTGGCCAGGCTCCACTGGCTCCCGATCACCAAACAGATTGACTTCAAGATCCTCACACTCATGTTCAAATCCCTTCATTCTCTGGCACCTGCCTACCTCTCCAACCTCCTCACTTCCCAATCCACTTCTCGGCGCCTCCACTCGACTTGCACAGGCTTCCTGCTCATCCCTTGCACCCTCCACCCCACCATCGTGCGCTTTCAGCCACTACACTCCGAAACACTCGAACACTTTTCCTCAATCCCTCCGCCTTGCTCCATCTCTCCACTTTTCAAATCTCGCCTGAAAATCTTCGACCATGCTTAAGGCCACCTCCCCCCACAGCTCAGAGTCAGGCTCCGGCATTGTTAAGCACTCTGAGACATTACTCTGCGTGGAGGGCGCTATATAAGTGCAAGTTGTTGTTGTAATATTCACTTTTTTGAGAACATGATGAATATGTGAATACAGCTATCAGAAAGATCGGGCAGGATGGAGCTCTTCCCAACCCGTTTTGCAGTTGTATTTAGAATTAACTTGATGTATACATGAGTGAGAAAGGAATAAAGGGATACAGGAGAGGGATTGGAAAGAGTAGAGGCTTGTCTGGAGTACAAACACCAGCATAGACTAGTTTGGCTGAATGGCCTATTTCTGTACTGTAACATTCTTCGTAATTCTGTGTATTCCCCTTAAAAGGCTAGAAAATTGCATTGACTATTTAAAATCGATATGAGTGTGACTAGATGATAGAATGGCTCAGATTAAATTGTGTTTTAATGCTATTTCATAATTTTAATGATGATTCTTTTCTCCCAAAATATCTTTTCTAAAGTGGGTTATTTGTTTACCCTGAGGGGCCTTTGAACTTGGAGCATAAGCCAGAAGATATGTCTGACCTCTTTAGACCATTTCGCACACTACTACGGAAAATAAGGTATTGTTAATGGAAGATATTACTCCATCGCATTTTCTTTGCAGCAGATTGTTGTGCATGCTTACTCATGATATTGCCTTTAGTATGTAACCTATAATAATAATTAACCTGAAATGTGAATTAAAGTTCTGTAAATTAAAGTGGAGAGATTGAGACAATGAACAATTTGTTTCAGAAACTAAACATTTTAATTAGTTGAAAACAGAAACAGAAGTCACTGGGAACACTCAGCAGGTCAGGCAGCATCTATGGAGAAAGGAAAGTGAGTCAACGTTTCGGGTCCATGACCCTTCGTCAGAACCTTCGTCAGATCCGAAATGTTGACTCACTTTCTTTTCTCCATAGATGCTGCCTGACCTGCTGAGTGTTCCCAGCGACTTTTGTTTTGGTTTTCAGATTTACAGCATCTGCAGTATTCTGTGTTTTGATTTGAATTAATTGTCCTGGCTTGGTGTTTGCACCAGTTCCTCATGTGTTCCCAGTTATCTCCTTGAGGGTGGAGTAAAGTGAGGTCTCTTCAGACCCATTTGGCTCCAAAGTGGCATATCTGGTGAAGCAAGTTTGGAATCGAGTTAATCCTTTGTGGTGGTCTCAGTTGCCCCATTCCTGAGCTAGGTAGATCCCTACCCCTAACCCTAGGGTTATCGAAGAGGAAAGTCTTCAGTTGTGAGCTGAAGGTGGGCAAGGAGGGGGCAAAGTGGAGAGATTGAGACAATGAACAAGCAGTGAGAACCTTGTCATTGTACTCTATTGCAAGCAGTGTAGTGTGTTTTAGCTGATTAGGCTCCAGCTAAGACCTCAATTCACTGGCATTAATAAGCAGAATGCATCCATCTGGGAGGAGAGTGTGAATGTTCTATTCCAGACAAATGGAAACCATACATAGGTGGAACTCTGTTTTGGTTTGGTGACTCTAAAGTGTGGTGTTGGGGCTTTTTGTGTGTGTCAGACATGACTGATCAAAATGTCATCTGCCCAAGTCACACTCCAGCTGGTAGGCAGGTTGGAGTGGCAGTAGCCTTCTTCAGAATATCTACTTCTTTAGTTAACCAATTTGAGATCCAAAATGACCCTACATCCCAGCACACTAGTCTGCCAATGTCTCATTATACAAAATATAATTCTTGAATTTGATATTGTACCTTTCACGTGAGGAGAACGTCTCAAAGTGCTTCACAGGATCTATTGTAAAGTATAGTGACTATTATAAAGACAATGTATTGAATGACATCCAATTTCCAGTCAGACCCCCCCCCCATTATAACAGAGTAGTTAGGAGCCCATAAATTGAGACCTTTCAGTATAATGTGTGGAATTTAATGCAGTTGCTGGTAATCTTTTGGGTGGCCAGACTGCCAATAACATTCCCGAGCTGTGCAAAAAGTGGGCAAGTCATTGTTGGCAGTGTATCACAGTTCAGTATACTGCAGTTCCACAGTCATACAGCTATTACCTCATATGTATCCTTACAGTATTATTTCTAATACAACGTATTTATCTCTGATATTTGGTTCCCACGTTTACAGTGTATTTAAATCTTTAAACTGCTCCCAAACTATTTTTCCAATTAAAGGGAGTAAACTGAGCATTTCATTCAATCAGCTGTGATTTATTTTTTTAAAAAACTTCAATTGATTCAGCTGTATTTGATTAAACTTATTATTTCGATTCCTTGTTAAGTCTGTTTTTCAATGGAGTGTCTGATATTGAAATGGGCTATTGATCAACTTCAATGAATCTATTAAGCATTACAGTTAATGACAAAGGTTAGCCTCATTATATTCAACATTATATTTTGCACTTTGTTCAGATAATTATCAAGTTTTTGTTCCGTTGTTGATTAGTAGCCTTTGATATCAATTAATACATTTATCACTCCTTCTAAAGATGTCTGCCATAGTTACTGTACATAGATGCTATGCTGCATGAAGGCTTTGCTATATAAATGCTTGTTATTTTTGTACTGTTCTGCACAATGTTTGGGCTTTGCACTTACACTTCCTCAAAATGTTTTTCCCTCTTGAAAGAATACCAGTATATTTGTGAATGATATCATCTTGCTCTTTTCCTAAGGGATCTACTGCAGATCCTGACTGAGGATGAGCTGCATACACTTGAACGAAATCTCTGCATATCCCAGGATTGTGAATTTAAGACCAGTCCAGAGGTACCCTCTCCCATTGCTCCCCCGATAGCTCCTGAGAAACTTTTGGAGGACAAACTCTCTGTAAGAGCTGAAAATACAGAGGCTGAACTTGCATGTTCCATGCAGTATGATGAGGAGGAGCTGGAGCAACTTAACTTAATGGTGCACAGGGTAGGAGATGAGATGTCCTGCCTGCTTTCTCCACCTAGTGCATGCCAGTCGCCAGCTCACAAGACTGTGCTGAGAGGTGGCACTAACCCAGGGGCGTCTACCAACAAACCATGCCTTGTGACTTCTGCTGTAAGGCATGTAGTTGAAGAGGAGGAGAGGGTGTTTTTCATGGATGATTTGGATGCCTTAGCTGGAATCACTGCAACTGAGGAAATCATTGCTTGGGCTGAGGATTCACATCAGCAGAATAAGAATATTGAGATACCACTTCAATCAGAGGATACAAGCACAGTGAAGAATAGACGGACAGCTGAAAACCTTGAAACGATAGAGGTACTGCACAGACCAAATGTTAACTCTAGTCTACAAGGGCAAACCAAGCTGAAGGAAAATAATACAACAGAAATGCACTGCAACTGTTTAGATGGACCTGACTCAAATTCTTACCTCAATGGTTGGGATACGGGTAGTAATGATACTGAACCCAGTGAAACTGCAGAAAAAATAGCATACAGAACTGGTGGAATGAAAATTTCTGCAACCGTTATCTTCAATCCCAAGTCTCAGTGTGTTTTGTGCTCTGAGTCGGAGAGTATAATAAATGGTGATTCTGTCTCCTGCCAGGTTTCAGATGCTTCAGATCAGTTAGGGGAAGATGGTTACTCAAAGGAATGTACTGCTGCCTTGAAAAATCAAATAAATTACTGTACTCATTGTGCTGCTGCTCAGGATGGTCTCATTGAAAATCGCATCAAACCAATGGATGTAAATTCTTTGAAGAAGCTTACAGATGCTGTTGGAGTTTCTGTCTCATGTAACGTTGAGGATCAGCAACATAAACTTAATTTTCCATCAGCATCACAGGAGGCATTAGAAAGTGAGAGATCAGATGTGACGTGGTCAGAAAAGAACTTGGGTAAAGAAGAGCACAACACCTCCAAATGCAAGTGCCTGACGCAATCCTCAGCAAAGCCAACTGAAGGAGGTGACCAACAAACAGAACCAGAGAAGAGGAGGCCTCCAAGCAGTGGGGAGGAAAGGAAAGGCGAGCTATGTGCTCAAAAAGAAGTAAATGATGAATTGGAAGAAGTTGGGATGCCACAGCCTGCTTCTGATATATTGGAAATCTACAGAACTGAGAGAAGGTAACTATTAGCTGCTTAAAATCGGACGATTCACCAGTAAATTTTGAATGTCATTTAAGTGGAGAGTTGTCTCCAATTCAATAATTTGTGTGCTATCATTGAATATTTTGTAGTTTAGTTTGTAATCGTTTATTTCTCATTGTGGCATCAGAATTAAGAACATTACAACAAGGTCACCATACCCAGGGGACAGTGCTAACTAATGAATAATGTTTTCATGAAGACAATCTTTTTTAATAGAGCCTTCAAAAGTAGTACATCCAAGCAAACTAATTGATCTGCAAGCATTAATCGAGAGTTCTTTATCTTAAGGGGTGTAGTGTTAAGCCTTCGGTAATTTTGTTTTTATTAAAACATTAATTTAAAGTTCTGAAATCAAATGATGCCCTTGTGTGAGGTATTATTTTTTGAAGGGAAAGAGCGGGGGGAGTAGGACTGATTGGGTAGTTCCTCCAAAGAGCTGGCACAGACACGATGGGCCGAATGGCCTCCTGTGCTGCAATATTATATGATTCTATGATTATAGGTAGTCAAGTGTTTGATTTAATCACTACCAATAAAAATGAGAGTGAAAATTTTAAAGATTTTGTAACATGTCTGGCATAGTAAAATAATTGTCAGCAGCCTTTAACTTGTTCAGTACTTCAGCGGAATTGTGAATTTAATTGTGTCCTACAGCGAAAGAACACTGCATAACCAATGTTTCTGAAAGGTAACTGGGTGTTAATTGTATCATCTTTTGCACATCCTAATTGAATTTAGACATTTGTTCCATATCAATGTTTTTCCCTGTGCAAAGAAAATATATTTCTTGTTTCAATGAGGTAATTGTAATGACTGGAAAATTAGGAAGAATAGAAAGCAGGTAATGTTCACTCATTGTACATAAACTAAAATGGTGGCGAAACGTGTAGAATATATATTGCTGACCAACTGACGTGACCTATGTAAAGCTATCTGTCAAGCAGATAAGATCACAGGTCTTTATTGTGGAAAGATTATAATATGATCTTTCAGCATTATTTAATGGCTTATTTAAACTGCATGGTGTAATGCGCACCTACCCTGGTAAGTCCTTTCTTCACATATATACAAATAGCACAGCACTATAAATTTATTTTATAGTTTTCAGAGCACTCGGATATTTCTGGATAGAGAATGCTTGTTAAAATTCAAATGCTGTGCAGAATAATCAGTAGCATTTAATATGTGTGCCAAATCAATTTAACTTAAATATTCTCAATTTTTTAAATGTTTGTTGCGTGCAAACGATACTTGAATGGTGCCACGTTACAGCAGAATAGCAAATGCTACCATGATGTCAAAAATGGTGTGAAACCTGAGCAAGGAAATTATAGGCCAGTTAGCCTAACAGTTTAACTGGGAAAATGCTTCAAAGCCTTGCTGTTGGTGCCCTTCTAATGAGCAAAGATATGTTAAAGGAAGTCTGTGGTTGACATCAGTTTGATACAATATGTTATGATACACAAATTAGTGCAGATCTTTGAGGAAATCACTGAATTAGTGAATCAGGGCTGTCTAGTGGATCTAATTTACTTTGATTTTAGAGAAGGGATTTGGTAGAGTACCCTGTGTGAGACTTTTAAAAATCAGTTAAAGCTTTAATGGTAAATTAGCTGTGATTGAAACTGTCTTACTAATAGACAATATCAGGTGATGATGGGAAGAAGTTCCTTCTGTGGCCGTGACTAACTGAATTCTTCACTGGTCCCTGGTGGTTGTGCTGCAGTATTAATAGATGTCTTGTAATATTGCAAAATAAGCTCATGATGCCAAGCTGTGTGGGGAGGAGAATAATTTGAAGATAAATAGCATTCAAAAAGACCAGTTTGGCAGAAAAACGTAAGGTAATCTATACTGCTTTTTGCATTTGAAAGACTTTATTAATGTGAATCGTCCAGGGAAGACGAGGAATTAAATGTGATTGCAAAACATCTCACAGATTTTCATCTAAGATCTGCACTGGTATTATAATAATTTGAATCTGTTTGTTACTGTCGTTAATCTAATGAGAATTTTGTATGATGCTCGATACCAAAAATGTCAGAAAGCTTTGTAAAATCTGCAGATCATTTTCATCAGCTCTGCAAGTGTTGGTTGGCAATACTGAATTATAGAAGAGCATAATGTTCTAATGTGCCAAGTTGAGGCAACCTTAAGCAGTTCATAGTTATCAAACAATTATAGTTTGTGTTGCAGCTGATAATCTCACAGAAATGTGTTTTTATTTAAGATCTGCCTTGGTTGTCCAAATTTACTGCAAAGGCATGTTTAGGTGTTGCTTTTGTGAAGGTCCCATTTTTTAAACTTTCCAGGTTTGCTTCCATATATATATACGGAATCAATGATGGCCCTGCATATGTGGCAAGATGTTGAACATGCAGAAGTTTAGAGGATGTTTTACTCAGTCAGCCTTTGTCTGAATAATGATGGTTACTTTGACCCACTAAAAAATAATCAAAGAGGCAACTAATGCTATGTAAAATTTGCTCTTTTTTTTGTTTCTTTTAGGCCACCTAAGTCAGAAAACACAGTGCTTGCCTTCAAAATGAAACTGTCCCGTTGATTGCTATTTAGTGGATCAAAGTAACCATTCTTCTCATCCGCAAATACCACAAGTGATGAACATTTTGCACATTTGAGATTCAGATTTTCATTTAAGAGGATCTTGCATTGAATTTTCGAATGTATTCATTGCGTGGGCCAATATCCACAAACTTCACATTCAGCAGTTAAATAAACAGGTCAAATAATTTTAAATATTTGGAAATAACATTGGAAAGGTTATATTGGAATGGGAAAAATTGTTCCTTCAAGTCATAGATATAGAAACGATTTTTGCAATTCAGAAGTTTAAAAAAAAATGAAAAAGCAAATTGTATTGAGCACTAGGGGAAATAATTGTTGCCCAATATACTGAGCACTTTTGGGATGTTTTTGAACAAATACAAATAATAAAAATAAACTTTCTATCCAACATGCTAATAATGCATATTAGGATGCTTCTGACCTAGTTTTTGAGTGCTAAAAATAATGGACCGTTCGAAATTCTCCAAATTCAGTGAGTGTTTGAGTCGAGCACTGACTGGAAATAACGTTGCTATAAAGTATGTTACACTCCCAGAGATCATCCGCTTAGACATCTTCTGAGACTGTTAGCTTAATATCTATCTGGAGAAATGATTGGCATCTAAGGAAAGCCTCCTAGTAAGTAAGTGCATTTTGTGAGAGAAAAAGGCAATCAATCTAAGCCAATTTGGGTTGATGAAAGGCAGGTCATTGCCTTACAATTTTATTGCAGTTTTTGAGGATAAAGGTAAATTGGTGAATCATGGTACTGTAATGGGTTTTATGTACATTTTGACTTTCAGAAAATGAGAGGACATGCAGTTGAAGTGAAAACTCAGGAGATCAATAAGGCTCTAAATAGACTAATCCATGGTCCACAGAGGACACTTATCGGTAATTATTCTAATTGAGCAACTGTAGTTAATGGAATCCCTTAAATTAATTCTGGAATTACTCCTGCTCGTAATATTGATGAGGGTGTTGTAATACTGAGTTTGAGGTATCTGCAAGATGAGCTCTGCTCAACTGGAGGCACGAACAGATTGTGTTGATCATAGAGTTCTAAAAACTTTATAAAGATCATAGGTGGCCATCCAATCAGTGGAAATACTTTCTCTTATTTACACTAAAGCAACATTTCATAAGTTCGAAAACCGATTCCCTCCTTAACCATTTTTGTCCCAATAAAGACAGTTCTAATGTTTCAAGTAACCTCTCATCCTCAGTATTATTAAATTGAATCTCTGATGTACCCTCTGCATGGTCCTGATTTCCTTTCTATATGAGGTACATAAAACTGGACAAAATAAAACTGCAACCTTAACCAATGACTTGTTAACAAATGGAACTTTAATATATTAAAATTCGCAGTTTTACTAAAGTCTGATCTGTATAAATCGTATAATCACCTTAGTCGGACATTTGCCTAAGTCCCGCTCAAGAGTTTATATTCTATGCAAATTTGACATAACTCAAATCAGGCTCCATGATCCCATCACCCCCACCACCGCCCGACTCCACTGGCTCCCCATCCCCAGAGGCGAGTCCAAAATCCTCATCCTCACCTTCAAAGCCTCCACAGCCTTGCCACTCCCTACCTCTGTGACCTGCTGACCCCATATCAACCTGTCCACTTCCTCCGCTCAGCAAGTTGTGGCTTGCTCCACGTCCCCTGCTCAGCCCACCCCACTATCAGCCATCGGGCCTTCAGCCTTTCTGACCCCATCCTTGGAACTCCATCCCACATTCCCTTCGCCTCGCTCCCTCCCTTGCGTCCTTTAAGGCGCGTCTTAAATCCCTCCTCGTCGACCGATCCTTCAGCTGCCCTCCACCCTTCCCAGTCCCGACCCCCAGCTCGAGTGTAAATCCCTGACTGTAGAGCGCCTTGGGCCGTCCTCCCGATGTGAAAGGTGCTATACAAATGTTATATTGAATTATATTGTACTTTGCATAAATTGTATTAAAGAGTAATAATCTCTCAAGAAGAAAAATAATAATTTGGTCACTTCAATCCATGAATGTTTAAGGGACACTGCTGTGTGCAATTGGCTGCCCACAGTCAATTCATTTTACAGTATATGCTGTGAAGCGCTTTGAAATGTCTAGAAGACGTGAAAAGCTCTTTATCAAATCCAAGAATTATTATTAAATGTATGGTCCCAACCGATAAGAGTTATGTGAGGTTTACTATAATCTCTGGATATAGCTGTGTCATCTTAAACATCTTTAATTGTCTGTGTGCAGTCCTTTGCTACAGACCATAATGTGATTTTTTTCCCCCCCATTCCCTGCTTCAAATGAAATGGACCAGAAAATAAATGAGCGGTATATAATGTTGATTTTAGTGCAGTTACATGACCAGATGTGCCTGTGAAATTAAATTGGTTCATCGGCACATAATGTTTCCTGAAATGAAATCAAACCTATGTTCGCAGTTACTAAAATAAATGTACTGAGATTTCTTAAAAGTAGTGCATTTAACAAAATCTTGGTCTACGTTTATCACCCACTATTTACTCTTTTCTGTATGTGAAATAAAATGATGTTCCCTGAGCTCCAGGAGTGAGGGTGGCACAATCTGCCCCCAAACGTCTGCCATGTTGGTGTGTAATGAGCTGCTGGAGAGCACTATGGGGTACCTTGGAATCATGCCTCTGGTGTTCCAGCTGAGGTTGTGAGCTCATCACATGTTGGAAATACAAGTGTGATCCAGGTTTCTCATCTTCCCATGGCGTACCACAGTGTGGTCCAACCATTTGGCTGCTGAGAGCCAGATGTTGGATTTTAGAAACAACCACTGGCCACACGAGCAATATTTTCTCCTGAACCCGAGCTCCCGGTGACCACCTGCTGATTGGCTCGGGGCCTGCGTGTCACCCGTATTTGCTCGTCGGACAAAGGTAGTTAGAAATGGCTCGCGAGCCGGTGCAATCATCCCCCGGGCCGGGTGGGCTGGACCACCCTGGCATATAATATTAGTACATTAGCAACCCCCTTTCAATATTGCATTTTTTTTCCAGTTTATTTGATACCTATAGGTGGATATATTGAAGGAATCATGTTCAGTGGGTACGCTAAATGTGATTGTCAGCTCCTGCCTGAATTTGTTAAAATATACTGTGTTTTGAGAGGTTGTAATGCCAAGTAATATTTTATATGATGGGACAAGTTTCCAACACTGACTTCCTGTATTTTGCTAAAGTCTGATCTGTATAAATCGTATAATCACTGGATTGGTGATTAAATGGACTGGGCGCCCCCCCCCCCCCCCCCACCTACCCTAAAGGGTTAGAAATGTACGCTCAGGCCCTCTGACAGCTTCCTAAGTAATTGCATTGCACATCCCGTAAGGTCCTGAGCTCTTTCCCTGGTCTGCTAAATTATCTGATCTCAAACGAGGGGTTGGGGTTGGGGGGTTGGGTGGTCACAAACAACTTGCTTTTATATAGAGCCTTTCAAGTAAAAGAATGTCTTGAAATCCTTCCCAAAATGAGCTGAATTAAAAACACAGTGAATGTTGTGTAGGAATCTACTGCAGCCAACTTCCATCAGCAACATCCTACTGACTACAATGAGATGAGTGATAATTTTATCTGAATTATTTCCGTTTGGATGAGAGAGGAATATAATTAGAATAACTGCGGTGTAACTTCCCACTTTTCTTTGAAATAGTAACCTTAATTTGGACCTGGAATTATGAGATAGATGGGACCTTGTTGGCTTTCCTGTGCCTGGACTTGTAAGAAGAACGTTACTGCTCTTGACACACTCCCTCAGGAAAGTGCTGGGACAAGAATGTGCTTAGCTGTGATGACGCATCACAGTTGAATAACAGATAATGAAGAATGGTCATTTGTGCAAGATACTTGGGAGCTGACTGCAGAAGATATTTAGTAGTGGAAAGCTTTGATCGTAATCTGCAAAAATGTATTTTGAAAATTAAAAAAACTTGCATGAGGCTAAATGGAACAGCACCACATGATTCAACACTGAGAATATAAGGTGGAGAAAAGCGTGAAGAATGTATGTGGCCTTTAGGAGGGAAATTAAATGAAAGTTAAGAGTTCAAATAACAATAGAAAGTGGATTGGAACCTCACAGTTCTGGTATCATCCTTGTAAATCTCCTTTGCACCTTCTCCAGTGCCTCTATATCCTTTCTATAATATGGGGACCAGAACTGTACACAGTACTCCATGTGTCTAAACAAGGTTCGAAATAAGTTTAGCATAACTTCCTTGCTTTTTATTTCTATCCCTCTAGAAATGAATCCCAATGCTTGGTTTGCTTGTTTTATGGTCTTATTAACCTATGTCGCTACTTTTAGCGATTTGTGTATCTACCCCTAGATTCCTTTTGCTCCTCTACTCCATTTAGATCCTTATTTTCCATGCAGTATGTGACCTCCTTAGTCCTCCTACCAAAATGTACCACCTCACACTTATCTATATTAAAATTAATTTGCCAATTAAATGCCCATTATTAATGTCTTGTAATTTGTTGCAGCCCTCCTCAGTGTTAAGTACAATTTTGGTGTCGTCCGCAAATTTTTCAATTGTACTTTCGATCCCCGAGTCCAAATCATTAATGTAAATTGTGAACAACAGTGATCCTAATCCTTGTGGAACATCACTTCCCACCCTCTGCCAGTCTGAGTAGCTTAGCTGCCCCTTACCCTAAGTCTCTGTTTTCTGTCTTGTAACCAAGCTGTATCCATTCTGCTAGTTTGTCCCTGACTCCTCTGCTACTTTTATGATGACAACCAACAGTACTCTTTCGTTTCTACCCACAATTCCATGATTATTACTGTTCTGATAGGTTGAATGTCAAGACAGTTAACTTTCAGTGAATGACAGCACAGCTGAATCATGCTGTTCATCTCTCACCAGTGCCCTCTTGCCTTTGGTTCTAATACCCTCATCCATGTATTCATAACATCCAGGCTTGACTAAGCAAACTCCTTGCGTATCGGCCTCCCCAACTCCTTCCTCCATAAGCTGCAGATCATCCAGAACTCTGCAGCCCGCGTCCTCCCCCACACCAGGCTCCGTGACCCTATCACCCCCATCCTCGCCCGACTCCAGTGGCTTCCCATCACACAGAGATCCTGGTCCTCACCTTCAAAGCCCTCCATGACCTTGCTCCCCCCTAAGTCTGATTCTCCTAACCCCCTACCAACCTGCCCTCCTAGTAGACTTCGGCCTGCTTCACGTCTCCCACTTTGCCCGCCCCACCATTGGCAGATGGGCCTTCAGCCACTCTGCCCCTATCCTCTGGAATTCCATCACGCATTCCCTCCACCTCGCCCCCTCCCTTGCCCCCTTCAAGACCCATCTCAAGACCCTCCTCTTTGACCATGCTTTTGATTACCTGCTTCCCCCTTGCTCTCCACCCTCCCCATTCCCGACCCCCAGCTCGGGTCCGAAGCACTGACTGTCCAATGCCTTGGTACATCCTCCCAACATGAAAAGCACTTTACAAATGTAATGTAGTGTCTCTCTGTCACAACCTGTAGTCATGTTGTTCTGACTCCCATCAGGTTCTGAAACCTGTTTGGTTGCTCAAACCAGCTGTCTGAGCCAGTGCGCAACTTAGGCATTTTGTTTGTTTCAGACCCTACCTCTGCCTTCTTTCGCACATTACCCGCATGCAGTCAATAATTTAATACATTCTTTCATCACCTTAAAATAAGATTTCTCCCAACACTCTCTTTGCCGGTCTTCCTCGAAACAACCTGAGATCCTACTTGCACAAAATGCATAACTTTCGCTCTGTCACACATCAGGTGCTGCTTTACCTATTTTCCCCATTCTTGTCTGGTTTTACAGTGCCTTTGTTAAACATCCTCAAAACCTCTCTGCTCGATGACCCCTCTAACACTGTTGTAAAATCTTTTGAGACGCCCATATGAAACGCATCATGTAAGTGCAAGTTGTAGTAGAAAGGATTAAGGTGAAAAGCGAAAGAAGACCCTTGAGACGATCATTGTCTTGTATCCTGTCCAGGAGTGGGGGAAGGGATGCAAGAAGAGTCTCCCCGGATTTGGAAGCAGAATTCAAGTTTTGGACAGACTTGACTTTATAGATTGTTCAGTTGTTCTGCGGAAACAAAACACTTGGTACAAAAGAGGAAACCAATTTTGTAGGTAGCTTTAGCAATGCAGATATGAGTAAGATCAGAGGAGCCATTAAGGCCAAGAATGTTTATAAGTAATCTAAGAGCACAGCCATCAAAGGTAAGAAGTGGTAGTAGCTATTGATTGAATTTGCAAGAGACCTGGAGAAATTGTCTTTGAAGAAATAAAAACAAAGTTTGTACCCCTTTGTGTATATTAAATATGTAATAACTGGACAGTGTAACAAAAGTGCTTGACTATTGGCATCTTCTGTGTTATTGCTTCAAGCCGCAGGATTGCTGAAGGACAAGAAACTTGAAGAATGGTTTTGTTGATTGGGTTGGTGTGCCAGAGGTCACAACCATTTGTTAGTCCAAACAGTTCAAGAAAACAAATTTGCTGAAATAGCCTGTTGTCTTTCAACAAACCTACAGCTGAAATTGATGAAAATTCATTCTGTTTACATGACTTGTGATTTAAACCCAGCCACTCCATTACTCAAGTCTAATGATGCTAACATTTTCACTTGCTTGCATACAGCACCAGAATGTCTTGCAGTATATGTTCTTATTTTGGGGAATTGACTGGAACCTTAATGCAATTCACTATCCGCCTAATGTTTTTGTTTCTTTGGCAAATATATTTTGCGTGATTTAAGATTATAATGCTTTTGATACTGAAATGTTTTTCATTTGCATGCATGGTGCATTTTGCTTTTTATTTAATTCAGATTTGCTGTGGCTATAATATTTTGCTTCTAAGCTGTGTTTTCATTAATGTGGTTCCAGTTATCAAGATCCATTCCGAGATTCCCCCTTCAGCTCCATATCCAGCAGTGACTGTGAGAGTGTCTCTGTCACAACCTGTAGTCTTTCCAGCACATACACTCCGAGGTAATGAGACTTCCGAGAAAGTACCTTCAGCTATCTAGATGATGTGTGTGATTTGTTTATGCATTAGTCTTAGTAATTAGGTACCATTATGAATAGGCGCTTACAGCAATACATGTGCTCATACTGTGAGACAACCCTTGGCAATTTTCATTTCTTTTTGTTTGTGCTTACAAAGGTGAGCAGATAATTTTGTCAGAAAACTGTCAGAAAAATGTCTTCTTTCCCTGGGTAGGGTTTTAAACCAAGGTACTCCTAATTGAATAGTGGATTTATTTGGCTTTGTCCTCTTTGGGAGTGGAAGACACAGCAATTTTTGCTAATGTTAATGCAGTTGAAGGTCCTTGGCCCCTTCTCTCTCTCTCTCTCTCTCAAACACACCCACACACACAAATACAAATTCAGCATGTACTAAACTCTTGCTTTCTCTAATTCATCTTTAACTGCATTTTGGTACTTTTAAGTCATTTTGGTATCGGTGTAACTAATCTCTCTTTGAATTAGCGATTTGTGCTGATGTTAAAAAATGGGCTTAGTTGCAAGTTTGTGTTCAAGGTGCATTGTCTAAAACTGCAGAGGAAGTTGAATTGCTTGGCTGGTGTGCCTTAAAGAGTTAACGGACTTCAACTTAGCCTCTTCTTTCTTGAATGTAGTTTAGTGAAAATCCATGAATGAGCAAATATTTATTCAGTCTGAAGAAATTTTGGTGCAATGACATCATTGAAATTGAAGGCAAATATTGAGGAATGGAAAATCTAGGACTTGAATTCAGCACCTCAATACTGCTTGTTTCAGCTGAGATCATTCATCAAAGTTAGGTTGTAGGAATTCATTTTTCCCGTGAGGGTAGAATCTGTGCCACAAGTGGCTATTGAAGCTCACTCAGTCCATTCCAGGGTTTAGAAAGAAATGATATACGTACTTGAGTGCACAATATTATGGTATGGGGAAGGGCCAGAGAAATAGGGTAGGTAAAGAGTAGGTAGATGTAATAGATTTAGAGTAGATAGTTTGTTAGCACCAGAGTAGACGTTATGGCACAAATGACCCTCTCTTGTGTCACAACTCTCAGGCTACTCTTTGTCTTTCCTATCGCAAAGTTCAGTTAACAGTCAAATATCTATTGATTGTATCGTGTTGAGTACTTAATGGGAAATTTCTGAGATGGGGAATATAACTTTTTTGACCTTTTGCATTCACTGTCAGTATGAAGTGCTCCTAGGCTCCATGAGCTGGAGTGAGCAACTGGGAAATTGATCTGGTCAGCACCAGAGGTGGGAGCCAAGCAGGAGAGCCTGAATTTTTTCCAACAACTTTGAGACAGTTGAGGCTCATCCAGCACTTGATGTCTGACAGAACAGCAGTGGGCCTGAAACTAGTGTTGAGGCAGAAAGATAGAGTGAGGTGACATCAGCCTACATGTGGAAATGGTCCCCCTTGCCTGCATATGATGTCACCAAGAGGGGAGCATGTAGATGAGGAAAAGGAAGGCCAGATTATAAAGCTCTGAGAAACAGTGAAAGCCACTGTGTGGCAGTAGTTAGAGAACATGTATTTACAACACTGGGACAGGTAGGGGTAGGAACAGGAAAGTGAGGTGTCGTACTGTGGAGGAGAGATGGTGAGTGATGAAGTGGTCTAGAAGAAATCTACAGATTTTTTAAAAAAATGGATGAAAGATAAGAGCAGAAAACAATCAGTATCTGAAAGAATATTTTGGGTATGTTGCTAAATTTGAGAGTGTCACAATGTGAATTATGAATGCTTGATGCTGACATCAGGTGCTTGAAATGTAACAATGTTCTATTCCCCAGAACCAACATTTCTTAACTGAGAACAAATCAACTAACAATTTTAGGGGGTTCCAAGACCAGTTGCTTATTGTTGCAGTTCATCCATCAGAATAATTAGCCCGTCCTTCTGTGTGCTGATGTGTGGAGATAAACCAACTATAAATGTTTATCCTGGTACAATAAAAGCAGGTTCATCAGAAACATCAGCCTTTTTAAAAAAAAAAAGAATTATTCCCTACCCTCTCCCCTCCGAAATCAATACATCAACTCATCTTGGCCCTCTGGAAGACTGGAATGCTTTATCAAGAAGCTAAAATGGTAAAGCCACCCCAAGTCACATGGGCAGTCTCCCACAAATGCATACTTTCAAGTGACCTTTCAGCCGTGCCACAAAAGTTATCTCAAATTCTATTTCCATGATTGCACTACAATACAAATTTATATATCGTGCTTCATGTCAGGAGGACGTCCCAAACCACATAAATCTATAGAAAATGCTTTGCACAGCATTTACAAAAATGCTTGTCTCATAGCAGTACACTTCATATGCATCATTATTTCACCATCAGCGGTTGGGCCTTCAGCTTTTATGCCCCCACTCTCTAGAACTCCATCCTGGAGTTCCTTTTGTCGCATCTTTTCCCTCACCTCCCTTAAGATCCATCTCAAGACATTCCTTTGACCTCACCTTCAGTCATCTTCCCTCCCCCACCACTCCCAAATCTAACCCCAGCTCAGGTGCAAACCCTTGACTGTCCAGCGATTTGGGCCATCCTTCCGACATGAAAGACCCTATATAAATGCAATTTGTTGTTTGTATCATCTGCATGTCTAACCATACACATGGTTACCCATGATTTAGCTTTTCTGAGCTTACTGTTGTGTGAACATCTGGCATTCTGCAGGTTCAAGCTATCCTCCCAAATCCACTTCACTGATTATAAGTTCGCATCTGAACCTATTCGAGAAAGGTATGTTTTGGACTCTTGAATTTGACCTCATCTGGTCTTCCATTTCCAGCATCTCAACACAACAACAGAATCACATTTGTAAAGAGCCTTTCACGTTGGGAAGATGTCCCAAGGCGCTGAACAGTCAGGGATCAGGACCCGAGTATGGGGAGGGTTGGGGCGAGGGAGGGCAGAGAGGTAGGAGTGTGGCTGAAGGCACGGTCAAAAAGGAGGGTTTTGAGTCGTGCCTTGAAGGAGGCAAGAGAGGGAGCAAGGCAAAGGGATGTAGGGTGGAGTTCCAGAGGGTGGGGGCAGATGGTAGGGCAGATCGGGCGGGAGACGTGGAGCAGGCCGGAGCCTGCTGAATGGAGGGAGCGGGCAGGTTGATAGTGGGTCAGCAGGTCAGAGATGCAGGAGGGGGAAGGGGAGGAAGGGCCTTGAAAGTGAGGATGAGGATTTTGAATTCTATCCTCCGAGGGATGGGGAGCCAGTGGAGTCGGGTGGGAGTGATGGGGTCACGGAGCCTGGTTCGGTACAGGACAGGAGTTGCAGAGTTCTGGATGCATGCACATGTACACAAACAAGTTTACAGTCTTTAAGAAATACTCTCCCCGTGCAAGAGAAATCCATGCTGCCCCCTTGTCTTCCCCTCTTAACCACAATCCGAAAACTTTTAGAATGGAAACGTGTCAAATAAATAGTTTCCACTATATTCTTTTCTTGAGTCCCATTTTCTCTCTCCGCTCTTCGCTTTCTTTGTACTGTCGGCTTCAGTTCTTGACATTTTTACAAAAAAATTGTATTTGTTTCTTCGTTTTAGGAAGATGATATTCTATCACAGACGGACTTTAATATGTCTATTATGCTGTTGAGGCAATACAAATTTACATTTATATAGCACCTTTCACATTGGGAGTCAATCATTTCAATTTATTTAATCTTGGCTAACCTGCAAAATGAAACCATTAGTGGATGTCGTGATTGCACTTCATTTTTTTTCCTTTTCATCTCAATGCATCAAATAGAAAAATTAAACCAGCAGACAAGAGTTTAGTTAACAACCCTGACTACATTTTGATAGTGTTATTCACTGAAGCATTTTACTGCAAATTGAAATTTTGATTCAAGTCGCACTCGGATGTGATTTTTGCAATGTCAATTTTTCAAGTACTTAATTGCAAAAGATCTGGATGTTGCCTCAATGCAGGGCTAGAGTATTGCATTTTTTTAAAACAAAAGTGTAATCTTCCATTAATGTAATGAATGTGGTCCCTAAGGGTAATCTTGGTAAAGCACTTTGGAATAGTTTTCCATTATGGAGTACAGAGCAAATTCAGTGAAATGGTCATTTAAGGTATTACCATACCCTCGAACATATATATTTTCTGCAAAGAAATTATAAATGCAGAGATGCACAATATTTAACTACCCATAATCAATGTTGGTTACCCAGCTTAACATTTTCACTTAGGCAAATAAGGACAATGATGATGAGAAATCTTCAAATAATGAAGTTGGTATGATTACTGAAATACTAAAACAATTAAGAGTGGCGGCTTCCATTAATGTTCAGCTGTGTTCTCAATGCAGTGCAGTCGCTGGACTAAAAAATGTGAACTAAAAGCTTATTCCATCAAGCCATGATGGAATAAGGCTTGAATAGTTGGCTTGTATTTCCTATGACAATACCAATAAGCCTCTTAGACAAGCGTTGCTGTAAATATGGTTGCAAATGATAAGTAATCATTGGCTAATTATAACTCTTGTTTATGATGTTCTATAAGATGCGATGTGTTAACATTTTGGGGCTTGAGGACCAAAAGTCTTGATGAGGAGGGTGGGAGTTTCCCATATTACATTTGACAGATCACCTCCTGTCAACATTTTGAAACTCTTCACACATTGTGTTATTTTGAACTTTAGCGACTTATATTATTATTATTATTATTATTGTTTAGGCAATTGCACCAGTTTAACCTGCACCAGGCAATCACGGAATGATCGATTTATTCTTGGACAATTAAGAATAAATTTAGTTCATGGTCCCCTCCTTTTCAATATGTATATACTCCCTCTTGGTGACATCATCCGCAGACATGGGGTCAACTTCCACATGTATGCAGATGACACCCAACTCTATCTCTCTGCCTTCACCCTCAACTCCAGGACCATTGCTGTCCTGACAGAGTGTCTGTCAGACATTAAGTCCTGCATGAGAGCTAACTTTCTAACATCAACAAGACCGAGACCCTCCTGATTGGCTCCCATCAGCGTCTCCACACCTCAGGCACTGACTGTATCACTATCTATGGTTGCACACTCCACCTCACTAAGCCAGTCCATAACCATGGCGTCTTGTTTGACCCTCAACTATCTTTTCTACCCCACATCCGTACCATGATCCACTCTGCCTTCCCCCACCTCCACAACGTCACCCGGCTCCTCCACTGCCTCACCACTCAGGCCGCTGAGACCCTCGTAACATCCAGGCTTGACTACACCAACTCCCTGCTTGTCGGCCTTTCCATTTCTTCCCTCCACAAGCTGCAAATCATCTAGAACTCCGGAGTTCGTGTCCTCAACCGCACCAAGCTCCGTGACCCCATCCCCCCACTTCCTCACCCGCCTCCGCTGGCTCCCCATCCCCCGAGGATAGAGTTCAAAATCCTCCCCCACCCTCTGGAACTCCAACCCACATTCCCTTTGCCTCGCTCCCTCGCCTCCTTCAACAACAACAACAATAACAAGATTCCATTTATAGAGCGCCTTTCACGTCGGGAGGACGTCCCAAGGCGCTGTACAGTTGGGTCAGGACCCGAGCAGGGGGGAAATGGTCAGGGTGAGGGGAGGGAAGGGAGGGAGCGAGGAGGGGGTAGAGAGTCGAGAGGGGAGCTGAAGGCACGGTCAAAGAGAAAGTCTTGAGACCGGCCTTGAAGGAGGAAAGGGAGGAAGCGGCGAAGGCATTGGGGGATAGAGTTCCAGAGCTTCGGGGCTGAGAGGCTGAAGGCCCGGCCACCGATGATAGGGCGGTTAGGGCGGGGGATGTGGAGCAGATCGGAGCCAGAGGAACGGAGGATACGGACAGGTAGGTAGGGGGATAGTAGGTTGGAGAGGTAGGAGGGAGCGAGGCCGTGAATGGCCTTGTAGGTGAGATGAGGATCTTGAAATCGATCCTCTGGGGGATGGGGAGCCAGTGGAGACGAGCGAGGGTGGGAGTGATGTGGTCCCGAAGCCTGGTGCGGGACAGTACACGAGCTGCAGAGTTCTGAATGACCTGCAGCTTGTGGGGGAGGTGCGGGGAAGGCCGGCGAGGAGAGACGCGTATCCAAACCCTCCTCTTCAACTGAGCCTTCGGCCACCATCCTACGCTCCCTGCCCTCCATCCTTCCCGATCCCCAAATCAGGTGTAAATCCCTGACTGTCCAGCGCATTGGGACATCCTCCTGACATGAATAGGGCTATACAAATGTAATTTTCTATTGTAATAACACTCGAGAAAATTGTAACTCAGACTTGTGTAATGCATTACATTTTCTAATGAAGACCTACATTTAGTTTACAACTATTGAGTTTGAGTGCAATGATGAATCCATAATGACGCTCAGGTTCTCTCTCACTGTTAAATTGTGAAAATTAAAAATAAATCTTCTCTTTCCCCCATCTACTCCCAAAGCCATTCTTTTATATTGGAGACCAATTCCATGGGTTCCAGCAGCCCAACTTGTTATTCTTGTGAGAAGCTTGGTGGGCAATATCAGATGATTATTACTTTCACCATGGGAGCAGGCATCATAGCTGAGCCTGATCTTGGCTTCATCTCTTTGTGTGCACATATATATGTATGTATATGTGTGTGTTATATTTTATATATACTTTTACTGACTTTGCAGCAGGAACCCCTAATAAATGAACATGGTTTACTTTATTCTGCCTTTAAAGATTTACATTACATTTACATTCTTTCACATTAGAATGTTGATCTTCATTTTACAGCCCACAGATGGACTCTGCACTATACGACATGTTATGGCAGCTACACATTTGAAAATAATGTGACTATACCATTTACATTATATAGCGGCTTTCATGTCAAGAGGACGTGTCAAAGCTCGTCATCGCTATTGTGAATTAGCTGCTGCCTCAGATGGTGCTTTTATCTAGAATTCAAAAGATTCATCCCCTTAAACTAGTGAACGACTTCCATTGTTCAGAGAGCACTTGAACTTTGGTTCAACATAACTGTTGTAGTGGATCACAGCAGATTTTGCGGTACAGTAACTGCAAAGAAAACTGCAATAATTGCTTTGTTTCCAAAAAAGTAGTGTGATTTCATTCAGCTGCTCTTATTAACATTTAAAACAAAAGTAGATTTTCCAAATGTTACATTTGCCCCTTCAAGAAATTAAAGTGCTCTGAGGTTTCTGTTGAGTAGTAATTTTTTTTGTATCTGATTAAAGGTATTGTTTTGCTACTCTCATCTTAATAATAATCCTTTTAATGTACAATTAGATTTTGAGAAATGTTTCTGGTGTATGGGGAAATGTATTTATAATTGTTTGATTCAGCATTTTTTCTCATTAAAACTAAACTGATAATTTGATTTTAAAGTTGTTTTAAATCAGGCCTTTGCTGCAATGCAAGTATAACAGATGCTCTGTTTTTTCAGTCCCCTAAGCAGTCTAACAAGTTCCTACACCTCGGAGGATGTGGATCAAGAAGAGATCCAGCTTGCCCTTCTGGCTGCCAAATTTGCTACAAGAGAAAAGATCCGAGCTCGGTTTCATAGTAGCAGTGACCTTATCCACCGACTTTTTGTGTGCATCTCAGGTATCTGTAATTTTATTTTATTTTTAAATTTCACCTTAAGGGTAACTTATTATCATGTTCATAAGAAGCAGCTAGATGTAGCTGCATTACCCCACATCTTCTGGAATGTTTTAAGCAGGAAATTATTGATAAAGGTGTGGAGTGAAGTAAATCAGGCTGTATTGGATTATGAGAATCGTGAATCAACACCAAAACTAGCCAAACTGTTAAAACTTCTATTATGGGCCCAGAATGAGTTGGATCAAAAGGAAGTTAAATATCCTAAGATGACAGATCTCAGCAAGGGAACAATTGAAGAGCCCAAGTAAAAGCTATTTGATGGGACTGAACAAGAGTATGAAGTGTCTTGCTGTACAATATTTACTGCTTACAGTATATCAGACTGGACTGTAATAAATTCACTAATAAATGACAGAACATGTGAATTACTTTCTGGTTAAGAGTAATCACATTTAAGACTGGGATGAAGCCTGAAACATCACTAATGTGTTACATCAGGGAACCCCGCCAGATGGCTGTGGAAGGGTCCAGGGATTGCAATATTCAACCCAGTCCTAAATTTATTTTGATGGTAAAATAATTTTCCCAACTTCACACATTGCATTGAAAATACTGAATATTTGGTGTTTGCTTTTGGCTGCTGTACAAAGTTTCTATTTGCAATTTTATTTGCTTCATGTCATTAATTTTAAGGCTGTTTGTGGGATATTACTCTGTGGAATTGACTGCTGCATTCACCCATAAAACATACAGTCACTTCACTTTACAGTATATCCTGTGGATTTCTAATCTAATCTGTCTCCAGCTCACTTTTGTGAAATTATAAAATAGGTGGATGAAACCCATAGGAAAATGGTTGAATACATTTTATGTGAATTTCATGGCATTCAAAACAAAATGAATGTAGCCTAATGAATGTGGGTAAATGTAAGGTGTTGCACACTGGAACACAAAAGGAATACAGTATGGTCAGAGGGTGAAAGGATACAAAATAAACAGTCAATTCACTTTATATGTGAAGCGCTTTGAGACATCTGAACAATGCGATAAGGCGCTATGTCAAATCCAAGGATTATTATTGTTCTGTGATGGGCACCAGGAGTTTTGCCAGACCAAAGCAAGTTGGTTCAGCATTTTTTTTCTCCCCCCTCCTTCTCTCAGGTTAAATGCTGTGATCAGGGAATTGTATCTGATCTCTTTTGGCAAAATTGTGACGGAAGGAGAAATTCAAGTCAAGAAAAGAAATGGTCACATCACATCACAGTTGTCTGTTTTAGTGCAAGTTCGAGTGCACCTTAAGTGATTAAATAGAGAAGATGACAGTGCAAGTAGATAAAACCCAAACAAAATGTAAACTGAACCCTTGGTTTTATAGCTGAATACAAAACCATGGGAGTAATATTGAACCTTGTACAAGACCTTGCGTTAGATTTCAGTTCCCAAAGCCATGTACTTCAAAAAAATGTTTGCAGGAAAACTTTGTGTATATTGTTGTAGTTAACCTGGCCATAGCTTTTGACTGATCTCTAAAATGTGTAGCAGCGTTTAAGGAAAAGTTAACTTCAGGGTAGCATTCACTGAAAAGCCTTGAATGAGTGCTGTTGCATACTATGCATTGGAGCGGAATTGACGAGGAGATTTTGAACTATAGCATTCAAGAGAATTTGGTGGGTGCATCGAAGATGGCTGAGGTTTTTTGTTTCAAATAGTGTTTTCTTGGATTTCATGAGTTTATTTGTTGCAGGTTTTTAAGCTTTTGAACTTTTCTCCTGTTTCATTAGTATATTTAACTCCAGATACAAAGTTTTCCATGTTATGCCCATACGCTAAGACTGAAACAAGAAGTAAAAAATAATTAGACCATCCTAGAAAATCAAAAGATATAAACCAGAATTTTGTGTGAGGAACAAATGATGACAACTATTTGCAAATAGGTCACTTGCATACATTCGCTTATAAATGAACTTGCATGTTTGACTATAGGAAGGGTTATTGCATAGAGTGATACAGCATGGAAATAGCCATTTGGCCAAACCCATCCTTGTTGGAGTTTATAACCTACATGAACCCGAGCAGATGAGGTTATATTTACGAACTGAATCATCAGAAGTTGTTTTTGAACCTGCAGTCAAGTGCTTCTTTTTGGGGAAGAGCTGCTTTAGCTGTTAATGTATCCTGAATATGTATGTCTCCACTTACAATAAATCCCAAGTCTGAATTGTCAGGAGAATGTCCCAAGGCTCTGGACAATCAGGAATCCACACCTGAGCTGGTCATTGGGATCACGAGGGATGGAGGGCGGGGACGGTAGGGATAAAAGCAGCAAGTAAGCTATCCTAGCAGCACCTACAGTATTATCAGATTGAAAACTTTTGTATTTCCAGCCTCACTTCTAAGTAGTGACTTATATTACTTATATGAGAAGGTTATGATAGATTTGCTGTTCAGAAAGGTGACTGTATGACGTCATTACTGTAATAATAATCCTTGCATTTGATGTATCGCTTTATCGTGTCGTCGAGACGTCTCAAAGCGCTTCACAGAATATATTTTAAAATGGATTAACTGTGTTATTTTGTGGGCGAAATGCAGCAGCCAATTTAAAAATATATGCAGCAGCCAGTAAAAATATAGTCTCCTGTAGCTGAAATCAGGAAAATTATTTATTCCCATGACACACTCGTATCAGAATGATACACATTCTGATAGTTTTTTTATTTCTTTTTGTTGCTGGAGACAAGTACTCCAATGAGTGTATTTTAGTCTTTGCTGTTTGGGACTTACTTACTTATTATATAATAATAATATTATAATATAATAATAAGTAAATGGTAAATGGTGCTCACCCCCATTCAAATCAGACTGAGTCCTTGGATAGTATCAGCTGATTACAAATAGAGAAATAGAGACAGAGCAGTTTTATTCCAAGATGATTTGGGGCATTTCTTTCTTAGCCCTTTCCCTCCTTAACTGTCATGATTGACCAAAGTAAACATTACCGTTCTATAGCCATGGCATTTAATGGTTTCGTCCCTTAGTAGTAAATAGTTTGCTTTAATGAACACTTTTTTTTAACAACACTGTAGGTGTTGCTGATCAGCTTCAAACAAACTATGCAAGTGACCTGCGAAGCATCCTTAAAACCTTGTTTGAGGTCATGGCAACCAAGTTGGAAAATGAGGAGAATCAGACTGAAAAGAAAGGTAATGAAAGGAAATTTGAAGAATGATTTTTTATGCAGAGAGTAACATAGTATTCTATGTAAATTAGGGAAACTTTTGTGAAGACAACCATCTGTAGCTACAAGATTATTTTGATTATTTAGTCATAAGTAACCCTAAAACAAACTCCATTTTAAAGTACAGTGTAATATGTATTAAGCACATTAGATAAACTGGAAAGATTCTTACAAATGTATCTCTAGTTGTGCAAGTGAAGTAATTTAATCCCGACATCCTGGGTCGCTAGGGGAGCTGAGCCTTACTTGAGACCAAGAGGTTTGAACCCTGGCGGGGCCACTCAGCCCATCATCTTTTTGAGGTTGATAAAATGGGTGCCATGTCTGAAAGTATCTTCCTTGTGGGGAAGTGAGGAATTGATCTGAGTTTGAGGAGAGAGCGCAGTCATGTCCACAACTACATCAAAAGGTGGCGTTGTTGGTTGAAAGCTTGAGTGCTTCATCGGGGAGGTTTTGAGATGTAGATATTTCCTTAACCCTGTAAAGCAAAAGCCCTATTGGTTTAAAACCAGAAAACTACTGTAAGAACTTGAAACTAATAACTCAAATGAAAGCAGGAAAAACAGCAGGTTCGTCTGTACCCAACAAGAGAAAAATGTTGATGTCTGTGTGCGACTCTTTTAACCCAAAACAATAATCTTGATCCAAAATGTTAATCTATGTTTTAGATGTTGATCGACCTCTGGTGCTTTTCCTGGTTTATTTATATTACAGGAGTAATAGATTGGAAGATTTTGAAATTATTTTTACTCTTAACAATATTTAGAATTCATATGAAAGTTTGTAAAGTCATGCAAAGACAAACTCCAGCTTTAACCAGTGACATTCCCACAAGGAAAATTCCTGGCTACAGCAACCTGCATAGAAAGGCTTGCTGTGTTAGAGACAATCCCTCATACTACTAAACCGTTCGATCTGTGTATCACAGTTTGGTTATACAATTCTAATCTATTATAAATGCCAACAGAGGTGATAAAGAGGGGCCTGTGGCCTGTCTGATCTCATTTTCACACTTCTTCTTCGATTATGGCTTCAAGCTGCTGCTTTTGAGTCTCGTGTCCTGGCTTCAAAGCAACCTTTCCAGCAAACGCTCCAGTTACTGATTCCATTTGGTGTAAATAATTATTTCCTAGTGTAGTTCTTCTTAAAATTGCCCTTCACAAACCTGACCCTGATCTGTTAATTAGTAGGACTACTGGTCCTTGACTCCTAACTTCTTATCTCGTTTTACGCTTAGTATGTCAGAATTGAAAAACACCATCTTTTTGCTGACAGCAAGGATTCTTAGTAAAGGACTTTAATGGGCTGACCCTGATTAAATCCATACCACAGAAGTTTTCATAACTCAGCACATTTGGTGCTAAATTGTCAGTCTCAGCCACCCCACTGAAAATGCCAGTGGGATGGCTGGGATCTAAAATGGACATGTCGTTTACAGCAGGGTGTGCTCTTATCAGATTGATTAGTTTTTTTTCTCCTACAGTGTAAATGGTGCTTTACTCTAAAACTAGGATATCCTTAGATGATCTGAGAGGCTTGTTTTTTTTAATTAACCTTCCTCAGTACTGACTTCCCTTTCCACCTCTCCTCAATCAGCACAAAGAATCGCCAAAGGAATATTTAATATCGGGAATGTCAGCACTTCTTACTTTGTGGAAGTCTCTTTCCTGCAGTTTGCTGAGAGTGCTGGAATCTGCTTTCATTTTTGGCGTTACAGGTCATACATGCATCTTTTCAGTTTTCTGAGACTTTCATTGATTATTCTTCTAAAAATCAATATTTTTAAACTTTATTCTTGAAATCCTTATAACAGATTCATAACTAATTGTAGTTTGCAGTTGATGTGCAGTTACTGAACCCTCTGCAAATACTTCACATTCTGATGGAGTGCTTTTTTTCTTGACTATGAAGGGAGAGAAGGAATGTGTCACAATAGAAGCCAGCTGTGGGGAAGGAAAGCATCTTGTTCTTACCTAACCAGCTGTGAAGTCTATAGATTAATTAAAGCAACATGCGGCAGGAGATTCGAGACTCCCAATAGTGCCATTATCCAACTTTTTCTAGAACTGCAATTTGTTTTAGGACAAAAAAGGGTAGAATTAATTTATAAGACAACCTCGGTTCTTGATCATTTACAGAATGTTCGATAAGGGAATCGGTTGCATAAGTAACTATAAAGGTAATTAATTGCCCTGAGATTATAAAGAAAAATTAAATTGTTTTCTCTAATTGCATTGTGTTATTTATTGTAGTTGACCAGAAATTGAGAAGTCCTGCTCTGGAAGACTGTGCTTTATGTCGAGAAAGTGTTTCTTCCTCTGAACTTGTTGAAAAAACAAGAGATGAAGATCTTGAAGGTAAAGTGTTAAAGCATTTGCTAATGCAGTTGTAATGATTAGTAATAAGCTTTCCTGGCATAATTGAGGATTTTACCTTTATACATTAGTTTTAGTAGATGGCATTATTGCTTCACAAGTAAATTTATTTGCTCAACTCCATGTTGACTGAACAGTATCTTATTCTGTTTTCTAATTCGTAAATGTTTCTGATAAAAATGAAGATTTTCCATTTCATCTGTGTGTGTGTGTGTCTCTCTCTCTCTCTACCTCCCTCCCTGGGTTAATTTGGCTTTGAATATGAAATTCAAGAGGGAATGAGTTTTTACTGATTGATGGTGTAAATGTGCAAACATTGGTTTAAACAGTGACTTTAATGGTCCATATCACTAAAATATTGTAATAAGACTCCCCAGGTTTACTTCACCTGAACTCTTATAAGATTTGGGACCCCAATATTTTATGTTTGCAAACCAGACTTGCTAAGTGTGCATTCCAATTCACAATCAAAAATTGTGAGATTTGCAAAACAGATGACTGCAAATCCCAAGCTGGTAAAGTCTGAAAGAAAGGCTTCAAGTAAAACACTTCAATCTACAGGGCAAACAAACAAAGCAAATTACATTTGTATAGCGCCTTTCACATCAGGAGGACGTCCCAAGGCGCTGGACAATCAGTGTTTCGTACCCGAGCTGGGGGGCGGGATCGGGTAAGGTGGAGGGCAAGCGGTGAAGGATGGTCATCGAAGGCACAGTCGAAGAGGAGGGTCTTGAAGGAGGTGGATAACAAATAACATAAATTACCAGTCCACATAGTTTTGCTCAATAAAGATGAAAAAGCTTTGAATTCTGTGACCTTTCCTTCTTATCATGGTTATACTTTTGACTTAAGTAGAACCAATTCCACAGTCACCTAAGGCTTCTGACATTGTAGATTGCGTACTTTCTTCCCCCTCTTTAGTTGCTCCACTGCAATCTGTAGCACTGGCAGCAGAATGGAAACCGTGCTGTCTCAAATTTCCACACGTGCAGTTCTTTTTCCAAGTTAGCAATCACAATTTGGATCTGTTCTGGATAATTGCTGCTGTGCAGAGAAAGTCTGTGCCAGCTGACTGAGCTGTTTTCCCATCACTGAACTCATATGTGATAGCTCAGCCCATCTGTGCCCAGGAGCACAGGGCTGCTGACACTTGAAGGGACATTTATGCTGTTTTCAGCACTATTATCTCTGGGGTTGGGTGAAGACATTGTTGAGCATCTCCAGGAGTAAATGTTCATCTTGCAGTGCTGTGGGGCTTGACACCAGCAGCAGTTTCATTTTAATCCAGAAAGTTACTAAAATGGGAAACCTAGCAAGATGCTGAATGTACGTGTTTTCACTGGGGAGTGGGAATAATTGAATCGGTTTAAATGGTTTATGTGAAGAAAAGTGTATCTTTTGTGTCTGACAGATCCTCCAGATTGGGTACCAGACGATGTCTGCAGTTACTGCACTGCTTGCAAGGCACCGTTCACTGTGATCCGAAGAAAGCACCACTGCAGAAGCTGTGGGAAGGTAATCAACAAAAATAAGTCTTGAAAAGAAGCTTTTGAATGAAATTGTAGAATCATATCCCACATAGAAACAGGCCACTTGGCCCTCTTATTCTGTGCTGGTGTTTTTCTTAATATGACCACCCTAATCTCACTCTCCTGTTTGCTTCCTACATGCCTTACAAACCTCCTCTTTACAAACATGAATCTAATTCATTATTTTTTTTAAATTACAGACTCTGCATTGCAAAGGTTTGCCAGATAATGTAACTCAACCACCCTTTGCGTGAAGACATTTTTTATTCTCCCCTTTAATTCCCTTGCAGTTATCTTAAATTTGTGCCGTCTCGTGTGCTGATTTACCAGCCAGTGGCAATAGTTTGTTACTGCCTTTTCAGATGGATGTTAAAGGTCCCATAGCAATATTCAAAAAGCAAAGGGCATTTCTCTCGGTGTCCAAACCAAAAATCCGCCAGATAAAATTGGCCATTCACTCCATCGCTGTTTGTGAGTCACAGCTGTGCGCAAGTTGACTGCCATGTTCGCCTATAAATGCAGTCACTGCACTTTACAGAAATTTTATGAAGAGCTTTGAGACATTCTCTGTGTTATAGGTGCTATAATCAAATGCACTATTATTAACAAGCAAGTTATGGGGATTATTGGCTAGGACACCAGGAGAAATTCCCTTTACTTCTTTCATAAGAACTTTAATGTCAATCTGAACAGGCCAACAGAACCTTAGTTCCACTTCTGATCTGAAGGACGGTCCCTTCAACTCTGCAGTGCTCTTTCGGTACTGCACTGGTGTGGAACTGGAGGAGTGCTGCATTGTTGAAGAGGTTTGAATCCACAACTTTCCGGCCCGGAGGCTAAAAGTTCGACCAACTGAGCCAAGCTGATACAAACCTCGAATGAGTTCACACCCACTCTGTCTTGAGTTTATTTTGCAACCAAAATGGGATTTCAGGAAATATTTTGTAAATGTGTTGCACTTTTCATCAATGGTGTACAGTCAGGAGAGGTTGGCCACAAAATACACAGTCAGTTTACTTTACAGTATATCTCATGAAGCGCTTTGTGACGTCTCAACAAAGTGATAAGCTGCTATATCAAATGCAAGGATGATTATTATTACCACATTTTCACTATTCATTCTAAAAGTGAACTTATTCAAACATTGCTCTTTACTGTATTTGGTCCTTTGTTTTTCAGATCTTCTGCTCACGTTGCTCTTCTCACTCTGCTCCTTTACCTCGATATGGCCAGATGAAGGCAGTCCGGGTCTGCACCCATTGCTATATCTTCCATGTAACTCCCTTCTACAGTAACAAAGCTAGCATTTGATACTACTGAATGTCTACCTGATTCCAACATGTGTGGACTAACTCAACACCATTACAACGGACGGAATTCGATATCAAACCAGATGAGTCAGCATCAAAGTTCGATGGAACTTTAGCTAAGCATTTTCACCTCGTTAATAGAACCCAGATGGTGGATGACTGGGAGAAGCTTTACCTGCAGATGGAAATTTTGTACAGACCTTTTTAATAATAATCCTTGCATTTTAAGTGATTTTGATAACGAGCTGCTAACACGATGTGCTGAACTTCTGTAGCTATTTAGCTAAGGTACAGTCTTCCGTGAATTTGTATCCAAGCATAAAAATATCGCAAGCTGAAGCAGGGCACTACGTGTAGGAGGGATCTTCCTGTATAGGTCTTGGGGTGGAAAACTTGAAGCTATGTTGCATCTGTTATACACTAATGATGGTTCACATCGTGGTAGTTAGTTAATCACAGCAAAAGTGGTCCAGATGATGATAGTCCCGACCTCTGTTTACAATTGGACAGTAATTGGAAAAGACTCCTGTCTGTATTTATTATAGGAGAGGATTATATTTCTACTACTAAAGCCATCCAAAGTGGCATTCCATTTAATGTTTTCTACCCAACACTAATGCTGGTCAAATTATTTTCCAGAAGCAACATCCAATTTTAAAGGTCAAGTGACAACATTTGCAGTTCAGTTTTTTCACAACTTTTTGTCCTCCCAGTGAGGTTATGCAGTCAGTTGTTCATGGGATCATGTCTGTTTGGTTTTAACGATGTATTGATGATGTCAGAGTTGAAGCACTTGTGGGCTGTTCTGGGTGATGTGGAGGCAGGAATCTCCATTGGAGGAGATGTTGCCTCTCTGGTGATTATTGTAAATGTAACAGTAAATAATAATCCTTGTATTTGAAAGTGTGCCTCTAACATTGAAATATCTCAAAGAGCTTCAAAGGTAATTGCTGTATATTTCTAGGCAATGAGACAGCCAAGGTCCCATAAACAGTCATAAAATTAGTGTAAAATTTTCCTGATTTATGATGTCATTTTAGCCAGAATCTCGTAAGCCTGGTATTATGAGATCGAAGAGCAATTTGATGGATATCCTGAGGAGACTGAGATGGGGAGAGAGAGAAAAATAGCGGGGGTGAATGTTGATTACCAGGGATCTGGAATTATCTAATCTATTGATATTTGGTATTGCCTTATACAAGATTTCAGTGGTAAGTGCACTCTTGCTGTTGGAGTTCTATAGAGTGCAATTGCAAACTAATTTCTTCCATCAATCTGTTACAAAACATTTTTACCTAATAAGTAAACCATCCTAAATGGAAATTTTATTTGCAAAACTCTTCTTCCTTGTGCTTTACTTTCTTCCTTCCATTTTAAAAAAAATAAATTAATATCGGAAGATGGAATCTAACTTGCTTCTTCCCCCAAAATCCAACACGTTTCCTAGGGCCATTCTGTTAAGCATTCACACTGTCTTCAGTCATTCATCTCTTTTTCTCTCTCTCCTTTCTCCCCAATTGGAAAATGCTCATCTTTTTTCTGTGACTCCTACAATGGTACAGACAAAATTTGTGGGCATAAACACTTGGCCCATTCTCACCCATCACACCACTCAATTTGTCTTGTCTGACTGACTATTTGAATCGAAATGTTCATTTCATGATGTTTCCGTAAAAAATTTCTGTAACCGTTTTCTTTTTGACGGGTTGAATGTAATTTAGGTGCTTTTTGTAAATTGATTTACTTCATCATCAGCAGCAATTTCTGACTGTGCTCGGATTCCTGTTGTTTCTCAATTTTGAGTGCGAGTGAACAACACCAATTGTGGTAATTTGGAGAAATTATGGAATTTATGCATTATGTGTCTGAAATGTTTATCTGTATTGATGTTTCTCATGATAATTGAAATTTCTAATCTTGTCACTTGATCTTTAAGCAATGCAAGTTTGGAGGGAAGTGGTTTTCCTTTAATAATTAGAGATTAACTTGGGGTAAAATTGGAACTAATTTGTGCCATATCTACATTTACTATGTACTTCAGCGTTATTAAAATACAATAAGAACCAAAAAGAGCAAATTTTCAAACCAGTGCTACACACAATTTTCTGATTCAGTTTCAAATTGGCATTTTTGCACTTGTTCAATGATTCGGTGAGCTTTCCAGGGCTTCGTGTATCTGGTGATATTTTTGATTTGGAAGTACAGTACTTCATTTAAAAAAATGTATTGTTGATTCTTAAGCCACAGTGTTTTATCAAAAGACAGCGTCTCGTTAATCGCATTGTTCATGTCCACCTCTTGTAAACCTATACGTTAAAAAAAAGCAAACCTTATAATTTTAATCTCGATTGTTTGCAAAGTGCAAGCTGTTGTATTTATTTCCTTCAAGCGAGTGGTCAGATCATTTTTAAATTGGAGTTCACTATATCATCTAAAGTCGTGTACCTGATGAGTTCTTTATAGGCTGGGCATTGGATCAAAACTATTTCCAGTCATTTTCTTAATGTCCAAAATCATGAAACCTTGGGATCTCACATGTTCTCTCACCACTATAATGGTATTGGAAACTATTTGCTTATTAACTTCAATCATGGAACTGATTTTAAGTTGAAGAAACTAAATAATATTTCAAATCCTCTACAGTGATCTTATTCAAAGGTATACATCCTTTCAGTGTTAGAATTAGGAGAGTCAACTAGGACATTTGTCCTTGGCTCAACTCCCTGTGAAGTATAGGGTAGTTTAGTCTTGTAAGACAGAATGAAACAAAAAATGCTCTGTGCCTGAAGCCTCCCACTCTACAGTGCATTCAACTGTCTGCTCACATCCACGATAATTATTGCTTGGTGCATGTTTATCTGCCAGGCCTGTACCGTTGAGACAGCCTTCAGTTCCAATGATTTAAAAAAAACTTCATCCTGATGTAAATCTACAATCAGTACTTGCCATTCTACAATTATATTGCAAACGTCAACCTTAATAAATAATTACTGGGAACTGTAGAATTACTTTAATTTAAAACCCTGGTAAACGGCATTGATAATTCCCATTTTAAAGGACTTGCCACATCCAGATTAGTTACAAATCGCTCTCTGTGACCTAATTGGTAAACGTATTGCCTTGTGATATGCTGCCTTACAGGAGGGTCACAGTTTTGATATGTGTTCTATGTTGAATTAACTGATTGAAATTGGAATATTGCAGTCACCTCAGTTCCCCAAGGAAAAGTCAGCTGTGGTTTTCAATCCTGATCCCTATCCAGTGACTCACTTGGGGTGAGATAAGGACAGGATTCTTAGTGGTAATCCTTATTCTTTTTTTCCTTTCTCCCCCACCATCCCCAATATAGTTATGTGCCTTTCCACAGTGCACTGTTAGGTTCACACATCAAATGGCTATACAGGAGGGTGACGGGTTTCAGGACATTGAACCATAGAAATTTACAGCCTGGAAAAAGGTCAGTCAGCCCATCATGCTGGCTATTTTAAAGAGCAACTCTTTCAGTCCCATTTATCTGCTATTTCCCCCCGTACCTCTATAGTTTACTCCTTTTTAGATATATATCTAGCTCCCTTTTTAAAACTAAAATAGTTTTGGCCTCAACCACTGCTCCCAGCAGGACATGCCATATCCTAACTACTCTGCCTGAAAAAAATTCCATTCTTGCAATTTGGTAGCTATCTTAAATTGATGCACTTGAGTTACTCACTCACTGACAGGTGGAAATAATTTCTCCCTATTGACTCATCAATATCCCTCATAATTTTAAAGACTTCCATCAGGTCATTGCCAACGTGCTTTGATTTAGCGCCTGCCTTATCACGTTGCAATGTCTCAAAAGTTCTTCACTGGATATACTGTAAAGTGGATTGACTGTGCATTTTGTGGGCAAACTATATTACCTTGCCACATCTGCAACATTACCTTTATCTGTTATCTTGGTCATTTCATCAAAGAACTCAACTTGTGTCTTCAAGTGGTTTTCAATATTATCCTGCATTATAGCCTCTTAATTTGCATGGATATTAGACTGACTGGTCTTTAGTTACTTTGCTAATAATGTTCTCCCTTTTTAAATCAAGGCATTACACTAGCTACCTTCCAGTCTCCTTGCACAACTTTTGGATCCAAGGATTTTCAAAAAGTTGTCAGAGTATCTACTATTTCCACCCTGACTTCCCTTAAGATTCTATCTTCAGCATCATCACTTTAGCATCTATTGCTATCCCTTATCTCACTACCAATCTCTTCTGTAAAAACTGAGGGTAAAACCACATTAAGTATCTCTGCTATACCTTCATTTTCTACGATGAGATTTCCCTTTTTATTTCTGATTGGCCCTATCTTCTTTAATTATTCCTTTACTTTCTATGCGTTTGTAAAATCCTTTAGTATTTTTCTTTATGTTCCCTGTCGGTCTTTTCTCATCCCCTTCTGGCCTTTTTTGCTTCCCTCTTGATCGTCTCACAGTTTGAACATGCAGTACACGTGCTTTATGCAAGTACCCTTCATCTTATTGCTCACCTGACCCAGCCTGACCAAGTGATGGCTGCTTTAATCAACGGTAAATGATCAGCTCTTGATCTCTTCTCACCTCCTGTTTGTCGCTTGTCTCTTCCACTCCACCATCAGTGGCCAGGCCTTCATCCACTACGCCCTAAAGCTCTGGAACTCTCCCTCAATCCCTCCGCCTTTCCCCCTCCCCACTTTCAAATCCCGCTTAAAGACCTTCCTTTTTAATGGTGCTTCCGGTCACCTTCACCCCTCTCCCCTGGCTCAGTGTCAGACTCTGGCACTGTCAAGTCCTCCAGGACGCTACCCCGCATGAAGGGCGCTATATAAATGCAAATTATTCACCAAAGCAGTTGTAAGTGCAACTTCTATATCAGGTTATTTTGTTATGATGTGGTAATTTTGTACTTCTCAATAACCTGGACACAAAACAAAATTCCAAAGCCTGGCCTAACCATAATTTGGAAGTTTTCTTTGTACTTTGAAGATTCCTAAAGTCTGATTCATAAGAGATCCAGAAAGTTTTCTTGTTGATGTGCAAAGGCCCTGAAAAATGCACAGTTTAGTACCAACACATAATTTGTGCAATTGAACCTTCTCCCACCCCACTAACTATGTAGTTATTTTTATTGTTTTTATTATTCAATAATTGGAAACTCAATGTATGACTGATCTCTTTCTATGCAAATTTGTGATTAATATTGCAATTAATAATCATAATAACATTCTGAAGTATCCAAAAAGAAACAGACTTATACTTGTTCTGTTATTTTTTGTTTCAGCTGAAATAGAAGCAGCTTACGGTCACCTTCCCCTCTCTCCCCCTGGCTCAGTGTCAGACTCTGGCACTGTCGAGCGCTCCAGGATGCTACCCCGCATGAAGGGCACTATATAAATGCAAGTTGTTCACCAAAGCAGTTGCTGTAAGAAAAAGTATCCAATGTCAAACCACACCTACTGAACAGTGTAGTTGTGGCATCTAACCTTCATTGTCCTCGAGAGAATAGTATCAGTGACCAATTGGCTGAAAACTGTAAATGCAATCAAGGACATGCCTCTTGGGATGGTGCGTCATAAACCTGCATCCTGGGCAATGCACAGCATTGAAAGCAGATTGGAAAGATTTCTACCAAATAATATGTTCACTTTGAAATAACTGATTTCCCCCAATTAATTGTACAAAAGAAACCGATGTGGACAGATGATTAGTTTTATGATGCAAGCTGCCTAATCTCTATATTCTCAGTAGAATACTCATTTAGTTACAAATTTTGCCAGAGTTAGATGCCACAAACACACTGTTCAGTAGGTGTGGTTTGACATTTAGTATTTCCACCAAATTACTCTGAAAGTCACCATCCTGCAGCTCATCCGATTTATACAATTTTATCTGAATTATTCTGCTCCTGTTTG